TGAGGCGGCGCTATGTTCAACGTTGGGGACGAACTTGTGGTCCTTAGGCTTGGACTGCGCACAAAACACCTGGTTGGCTTCGTAATTCCGGAGGTGAGAGCACTGTTCCCTTTCCTCCCAAGTCAGCCGGAACCCTATAGAGCCCCAACCTAAAGTGCCGCAGCGACACAGGTCCTGGACTTGAGTCTCCCACTTGGCCAACACGAGCTCTTGTTGCCCCCACGGAGCCACCCGCCCCTGTGCAGCCCCCCACTCCAGTCCCGGAGCGTGGCACGTGCTGCCCTCGCCTCTTCGGGTGCTCTGAACAGCATGGGCACCTGGGGGCGGGTGCTGGTCTCCTCCCTGGGGGGGTTCTCGGTGCCTGGAGGAGGGGGCGTGACAGTGGCGGCAGCCTTCCAGAAAAGCACCTTGGCACAGACCCCCACTCCACACCGCGTGGGCAGTCACTTCCCCACTCAGAGGGTAGTGTGCCACCAGACATCATTCCCTCCCACAACACATGGATCCGTAAGGAGCTGTTTCATTAGCAAATCCAGATTTCAAGAAACTGCTGAGAGCATTTCTCTTTTGCATCCCATCTCTAGGTTGGCTGGTTAGGAGGGTGAACACTGTCTGGCTCTTACTGCTGAATTATGTTAATCCAGGTTATGTTTCTTTCCTAACAAGCATTACATGCAGGCTTTTTGTGGGTTGTTGTTTTTTTGTTTTTTTTTTTTTGAATAGTTGGTTTGGTTGTGGGTGCCTTGTCCCCGATGCCGCGGTGGGTTCAGAAGACCCGGGTCCTCCATTAGAACCCAGACGCAGGGCGCCCTGCACTACACGTAGGAGGCCCCACCCCTAACAGATGGCCCAAAGTGTGACTGCTGTAGGCCACACCACCTATTTTTCTTAATAGAGAAAGAGCCCTGTTTATTTAGAACAAAAGAAAAGATTGATAACACACGTCGGTGTCCCGCTCTTCACTTCAGGTCGCCACAGCCATCTCCATACCCCGAGGCCGCCCCGTGCCAGGCACATCCTAGCCCAGAAGCAGAGCCAAAAGTAGGTTTCTGCTAACTTGTTACGCTTACATTTACCTTAATTCTTGGTGTAGTGTTTTCCGCTTCATAGGATTAAGGATCCATATTTCAAAACCAAAGGAGTTTCTAGATCTTACTTTCCTGCTATCATGTTAACCTTCAAACTTGACCTTGAATTTTCCAAACTGAACCTTGATTCTTCTTCCACCTTAGGCAAAATTTTCAAGCTTGTTCATTATGGGGTTTTGAAAAATAAAGGTATGAAATGAAAATAAGCATAGGGGCGCCTGGGTGGCTCAGTCGGTTTAACGTCCGACTTCGGCTCAGGTCAAGATCTCGCGGTTCGTGGGTTCAAGCCCCGCGTCGGGCTCTGTGCTGACAGCTAGCTAGCTCAGAGCCTGGAGCCTGTTTCAGATTCTGTGTCTCCCTCTCTCTCTGATCCTCCCCTGCTCATGCTGGCTCTCTCTCTCTCTCTCTCTCAGAAATAAATAAAAAACATTTTTAAAAAATTTTAAGAAAATAAGCATAAATTTTGGTCTGTGCTATTGTCTCTCACCAGCTAGTTAGATGGATAAAATCCATAAAATGGCATTTCAAAAATTGTAAGAAATATTTAGAAATTTTCCGAAATAAAGGCATCACTTGCCAGAGTTGCTTACTGTTGGCAGTTTGAAATGTTTTGAACGCGTGTTCTCAAAGGTAATCCAGCCTTGTACCTGGGCCCTCTGAGTGCAGAGTCGTCCTGAATTCGGGTGGACAGCATGGAGTCCCCCCAGCAGGAGTGGGGAGCTCGATACAACCTATCGTATGTGTTGATTTCAAATAATGTGATGCGGGAAATTGAAGAAGTTCCGAAAATTCTCATGCACAACTAAAGGAATCGGTCATTCTTTTTTTTTTTTTTCTTTTTAAAGTTTGTTTATTTGGAGAGACTATGAGCAGGGAAGGGCAGAGAGAGAATCCAAGCAGGCTCTGTGCTGATAGCACAGACATGGGGCTCGAACTCACAGACCGTGAGTGAGGTTATGACCAGAGCCGAAAGCAAGAGTTGGATATTTAACCGGCTGAGCCACCAGGCGCCCCAGAATCAGTCATTCTTGATGCTACAGTGACACAGTAGAGCACCACCACCTTTGTGTCTAAGTAGGTCAATGGCAGGGACCCTTGTCACTCAGAATAATAACCTTGGACACGGGAGTCTGTTTTTACCAGTATTTGAGATTGTTTCCCTGTCAATTACGGCTAAATGTGTTCTGTGGCGTCTGAAATGATGGTCTAGCATTTAAAAACCCCTCAGACCTGCATTCTGATAGTCGACAATGACAGGGTTTCTGAGGCAGGGGGCCTCTATCGTTAGTGCCCTTGCACACCGTCACATGGGGTGAGAGCAGCAGCCCGTGAGCACCACGGGCCCTGTCACTCCGGAAGGACACACCCGCGGAGCCACCACCTGTATGCAGTGTATGTATGCGTTGGCAACCTCACACATGCAGCACTAAGGCTGGCCCGCACGGGACAGGGCATGGAGCCGCGGGCGCCCCCCCACCCCCAGCAGTCTCCAGGGTAGATGGGTTCCATGCTCACTGCCACTTGCTTGAAACCGTGTGTCCTGACAGATTTACCTTGTCGTGTAGGATGTGTGTTTACATAATCTGAGGCAGGTATGGTTTATAATGTTTTGCTGGCGCTGACGGATTTAATAAAGACAGGTGCTTGATGGCAGTTTGTGGTACTTTTTAATCTATTCACTAAGTTGTGTGTTGACCATTTTTTGTGAAGTAAGTGTCCACAGTGATAATATCAAATGATGACTTTTACCTTCCCTGGAACCACAATACTTTATTCCAAACGAGCAGGCCATCCTGGAAGGGAGGTCCCTTGTACAAGTTCATCAGAAGGGCCATTTATTGGAAGCCGCATTCTCTAGTTTGGTGGCCTGACCAGCCGGACCCTATGGGTCGTGGAGCCCATCCCTGTCGCTTCAAGGGGACCACCTCCTCCAGCTTCACCTTCTGCTGTAAACAGGAAGTCAAGTTGGCAGCCACTTTCTGGGAAACTGTCCACTGTGAACTTGTGGTAGGACCGCCCATCCTCGGGGTGCTGTGCGGGGCACGGCGGGGACGGAGTAGAGCAGTGGACGTAGCTTATTTTCATAAGCAATGAGTGTGAAATATCTCAGGTCTCACACTGAACAGTACAGTTGTGAAGAATAAGGTGTGTTGCTAGGAGCGTCTAGACGTTTTTGTGAATTCTCTGTGTAAAAATATCTCACGACACAATTCTGGGCTTGCTTGAGACAAAGGGTTTTGGAGTGTGAGTCCTAAGTAGCTCTTCTTTGGAAACACACCCCCTTGTAGGGTCCACACCCTCAAGTAGAGCCCTCAGCCTGTTTGATCCCTTCAAAACTGACCAGGCTCCTGCACACGGGCAGGAGGACCAAGGAAGCCCGTGTGATTTCAGGGTTGCTTTAGCGTATTTTAAATGTGTAATAAAAGCAAATTCGAGTTTGTTAGAATTAACATTGAATAAAAGTACATTCGGATTTGGTTAACAATTTCATGCTCTTACATCGTCCAGATTTTCATGGTCAGTGAATGTTGGCTCGAGTTTTCACTGCGTAGTGGTGCGAGACAGCCCGGGAAAGCTCTGCCCTCATAGCACTGGTGGCTCACCTCCGGGGCGGGACCCCCTCCCTGGGCCGGAGCCCCGCCAGCGCCAGCAGCCTTCCAGAGCTCCGACTTTGTCAATGTGAAAATCAGGAGGCTCCCCTGCAGCCTGCCGGCCAGCCGCAGGGCCAGCCATGCCAGACTCGTGCGCACTGGCCCTTGGGCAGCCCCTGCACTCCCCCGCCTGCAGTCATGAGTGTTTGAGGCCAAATAAGCCAACTTTGGGTTTTATTAGCTGGTCACTATAGGCAACCGCATTTGAAGTCTCTGACCACAGTGTAAGAAGATCTCACTTGGAAGCCAGTGGGGGGTGGGGTGAGGTGGGGGTGGGGAGGCACCAGGGGTCCTGGCCAAGTCACTTAGGTGCCAGCATTCTGTCCGCCCATTTAGCCACAGTTGGGAGTGATGGTGGTTTAAGAGCTAAAACACTGTGCGTTTGTAAACCTACAGTAAATTTCGATTATAAATAGCTTCTAAACCGGTTCAATTTCTCATATCAAACTTTGCTTTATAGATATCTTTAAAATTTGCCATTTAGTAGTTGCTGATTTTCCATTTAAAAAAAAAACACTGGAAATAACCCTTTCAGGCTTAGAGGCCCTTTGACCACAGAATTCCTGTACTGTAAAAAGTGATGGAGCACCTCGTCTGCCCTCTTAGAACTTGGCCAGGACTTTGGCTTCTGCCCCGTCCCAAGCAAACCCTGTTTTAAGAAGAAAAAACAGTAGTAGTTACTCTTGTAGTATGATTCTAGAAAACCAGCATAAAATCCTTTTTAATGAAAAAATTCAAGGAAGTAGAAAACAGTATGTTGAGCAAGTTTACGTGATCCAGTTTTTTTTTAACGAATGATTAGTGCAGAGTGTGACCTTAAAGCACACTTCTGTTTTTCAGATTCTTTAGCAGGGGTTGGCACCTGTCTAAGCCTCTGCGATCTGCCTCCATCACCTGCGCACAGAAGGCGCCCCGCTCAGGGTGCGCCCTCCGCTTCGCTGGTCTTGGGCTGCCGATTCGCATCACAGTTGCATCTTGTCTAGAGCTGAGAAAAAACCCCAGGAACAGATCCCCGGGGTGTCCAAACCACCTGTGGTTGGTCTCTGAAATCCAGTCCCCCAGCCACCAACCAGTGTTCATTTCGCTCCCTGTCACACTGAGAATTGCACCCGATAGGGGCTTTGTTTACACACCTCCCAGAAAGTGCCCAGTGGGAGCGGTAGGCTAACGTTGGCTCAAGCGCGGTGAGAACTGTGGTGTCTGGCCAGCGTGGCAACCCTTTCTCATTTCTTGCTCCATTCCCTGCCCCGTTCAATTCCAGGCCTTTCCGTGGACAGTCCTCAGCCTTCTCCCTCCACCCGGAAGAGCCCACTGAGCCTGAGCCCTGCGTCTCAGGTGACTCTGGGCCCAGCTGAACAGGGCTTGTCCCCCCTCCTGAGCCCTGTCCTTAGCGACGCTGGCGGAGCCAGGATGGACGGCGAGGAGGAGCCAAAACACAAGGTGGGCGCCATCCCCGCAGGAGGCAGGCCGCTGGTGGGCCTGGTTTGCAGGGGGCCTGAGGGGGCCCAGGGCAGACTCTGTCCCGGTGAAACCTGCCCCTCGAACCGCACGTCACTTGGGGCTCTTTGGCCACCTTTGCACAGAGGCAGCCTTCCTTTTTCATTGAACGGCAATTCCTGGTACCTGTAGGCTTTAACGGGGTGCGGTGGGGAAGGCGGGGCCCTGGGGGCGCCCTCCGCCTCCTGCCCTCCCTCCTTTGTCGGACACTCTCGAACAAGCAGGTAACTGGGAGGGTGGCAGGGACCCCATCTTATTGGGCTCCGGGATCAGTGGGTTCTGAAGGAGAGACGGGGTGGGGTGGGGTCCGCACGGGGGAGCATGACACCAGAGGGGGAAGGAGGTGGGGGGTGCGGGTTTGAGGCGGCAGGTTGAGGCGTTGCCCACAGGCTTGGCTTTGCTCTCAGGGACAGGAGGCTGCAGGTCGGAGCGCCCCGGCTCGGGGACGCGGCGCTGGCCAGGGTCACCCATTGCGTGGCCACCCGCACCCTCCTGGCCCGTGCCCCGCTGAGTGGCAGCACAGACCAGGTGGTCCCGGCCGTGCGGCTCTGCGGGCGGGCACACGGGGGGGGCAAAGGGGCCAGGCAGCTGGGGGCTTGGGAGGGAGGGGTTGAATAATGGCTGGTGGGGCTGTGGCTGCCCAGAGCCATCTGTCCCCCGTAAGGAGTGGGGGTCCCCGAGAAGCAAGCTGGAAGGAAGCGAGGCTCAACTGGGCTGCCAGCGGTGGGGGTGGGGGGGCTGCCTCACAGGTGCCTGTCGTGTGGGGGAGCTTTCGTGGAGAACACCTTGGCAGGCCGTGGATCTCATCCCAAAGTTATGCTGAGGCCACCGTGCGTGGGACACGGGAGGTCCTTCGGGAGGCGGGGTCAACCTGATGAGGCCTTGCCCACACTCCTTCCTGGGGTGCTCCCCTCAGAGAGAGCAGGCCCTGAACTGGAAGGCAGCTGTCCTATCGGGTGCCAGACGAGGGTGGGGATCCCAGGACCCAGGCTCCGGTGCAGGGCTCACAGCCCCCACCCCAGGCCTCTGTTCACATGGGGCTGCCTGACAGAGGTCACTCTGGTCCCCCGAATGCCGTATTTGGCAGCAGGACTGTTGGCTTGGGATATTTTTATGTATTGATTTTGCTCACTGTTGCTTTGGTGCATAAACAGAACGGCTGGAAAGTTGCATAAAAAACTAAATTTTATTTTGTTACTTTTCCACACTACAAAAATAGTTGTCCTTTAGGTGGTTCCGTAGGGTGACTTGTACCACCTGAGGGTCACCGACCAGTTCACGGCAGGCGGCCATGGCCTTCCCGTCCAGACCAGGCCTCAGAGACTGAGCCTGGGAGCCCCACCGCAGGCTCGCAGAGCCATGGCCGGGCCCTGCACACGGGGACCCCGGGCCCCGCCCCGCAGTTCCCCTGCCTCCCCTCCTGTCCCCGGGGCTGCTCGGGCTCCAGAGCACTTTCCTCAGCGCTGCCCGCGGCCAGCCCACACCCAGCGCGGAGCCACGCGGGCCACGGACCCACGGGGACTCCCTGGCTGGGCCTCTGCCGCAGCTAAGCACTGTGGGGCATCTGCGTTTGCCTCTGGCTGCCGGGCTGCGTGCGACCTTTCCGGGGGGAGCAGTGTGCCCCTTGTCTCCTGGCATCCCGCCTCTCCAGGGTGTCCCACTTAACCGCTTAACTGGCTGTTTCTCCCCCTTTCCAACAGAAATCAGTGAGGACCGATAGTGTTCGGGAGGTCCGGAGGCTGAGGTGTTTGTGGGGCACCCCCTGTCCAGGGCTGTCGGGCTGCTTTCTGTGGGGGCAGGTGGCAGAGCTGGGCAGGAAGTATGTAGTCCTCCCGAGGCGGTGCGGCACCCCCCACACACACACACCCCCGCTGACCCGCGGCCAGGCTGGCCTGGCTTTTGCTCCCCTGGGCGTTTCCCTAAGAGGTTTTCGCTGCGCTGGAAACCAGCAGACCAGCCCTGGACACACAGGCAGGCCTTCCCTGGGCCGCTCCTGACCGCCCCTCCCTCGTGTGTCCCGTCACTAACTGGTGGTGCCTGTGACGTGTCAGTGAGCTCGTCGGAGACACTGCCGTGGCTGTGTTCCTGAGACTTTCTCTCTGGGTGCTTTCATCCCCCACGGAAGAGGACTTGGTCTAGAACCTCAGGGTGACCGTGTTCTGCAGGATCCCACTCAGGGCTAAGGTGCCGCTTGGGAGCCACGCAAAGGAAGTGTGGGTAGGAAGCCGGCTTACCTGCACTGGGCCCCCCGCCCAGAGCCCCTGGGCCGACAGCACGCAGCTGGAGGTGTCCAGAATAAGGGACATTTGGCTGCGTGGGGGGTGGGGTGGGGCAGGCAGAGCCTCCAGACCATGAACCTGGACCTCCTGGGAGGGCTCCTCCTGGGGGACTCTGAGCCCCAAGAGCTTGCCGGGCACACAAGCTCAGGTGGAGATGTGGTATGTCAGAGACTAGACAGATTTAGGGTTCGAAAAGTCATGTTTTAATAGCACAAAGCCCAGAAAGAAGTGAAGAGCATGAAGGTGGCCACTCCGCAGGGAGGGGGTCTGGAGCTCCAGGGACAAGGGGTGGGCACTCCAGGGAGATGCCTCCAGGACCCCAGTGTCGTGGGACCACAGAGCAGGCTCACCTGGCTGCCGGGACAGAGCGGCTGTTGGCTCTTTGCCAAGAGTGGGTCGCGGGGAGCATCCCTGTGGGTGGAGAGGCCACGGCCATGTCGGAGGTCTCTGAGGCACACAGGAGGAATGAGACTGTGTCACCACTGCGGGAACACGGCAGCCTCTAGTAAACTTCACTTGGGGGTGGGGGCACAGGGAAGAGGGCCCCCCCCAATATCGGCCTCTAGCCCAGCCTCGCCTGTCAGCCCCTCCCAGACTCATGGACACCCGGCTCCTCACCTTGGTCCCCAAACCTGTCACCTCGGGGATGGGAGCTTTGTCCCTGGGCCTGGACCCAAAGACACAGCCCACTTTGCCTCCTCTGTTGCTTGGCCCTCCTCCCACACCAGAACGTGACCTGGAGGCAGTGTCTGGTCCTGCTGCTGCCCTCCCCAGCTGTGGACAGATCCTCGATGATGCAGTGGCCTTCTGCCGGGCCCCAGCCCCCCACGCTGCTCTTCGTGCGGCATCCGGGCTCCTCCCGCGGACCCGGCACAGCTGGATAAGCTCCCATAGACCCCAGAGCTGCCCTGCCTTCCCCACCAGTAACCAACCCGCCCCCTCACCCTTGCCCTCCACCCAGCCTCCCAGTACGACCCACCCCCACCCCCCACCGCACACCTCCAGCCTCTCCCCCTCCCACTCCGCCGTTACGCCCCCTACTGGAGCTTCAGGGCAGGGGGCCTCTGCTCCTGGGCGATTCCCTGGTGCCTGTTTGGTGTCGTATGTGCTCTGTAGATGTTTGCTTGGTGGCCTCAGGGACAGTCAGCCCTAAAGAGGTCCTCAGCCAGGGGAGGAACTACGGGGGAGCGTGCAGGGATCGAACAGAGCCAGGTGTCTGCCAGGTGGGGCAGGACGAAGGAGGGACCTTCAGGCTGGACCTTGACAGAGGTGGCTACCTGAGGTGCTCAGGGCATGCAGGAGCTCTCACGTGGGACAGGGAGCCCAGGTTCCCAGGGGCCCGTCGCGGCCCTTCCTGCTCCTGAGAGTCGGTCCCGTCACTGCTGACTTGGCTGGAGGCACCTGAGTGTCAGGCAGAGGTTGTGACAGAATTCGGAGCACCCAGGGCGGAGTCATCTCTGGCCCTGCGCTCAAAGTGTGTTAGCTGGCATGATGCTCAAACAGCGGGCACAGTTAGAATGTACACTGTTTGGCAATTTTAGTGACTTTTTTGTGAATTCAGCTTAATCGTTTCTAGTCACATACATGCGTATATACAGACACATGTATCTGCTACCCAGCTACACCCCTGGTAGTGATAGCAAAACAAACCAGCAATAAGCTTCAATACATGTTGATGTTTGAACAGTGATTTTTTTTCCTAAAAAAAAAAAACCAACATAAAATAAGAAAAACGCATAAAGGAGATCCAGCTGGGTTTATGTTTTTACTCAGAAGTGAATCCCTTCAGGAATTACAGATGAAAAGTGCACAGTGATGTCAGCTTGAGCAGAAAATGAGAGCTGTGAACGTGGGTGATGTGGCTGACAGACACGCACTCACGTTGCCTGTGCTTCTTACAGAGCACGGCCGCAGACGAGGCCTATTTCATAGCAAAGGAGATTCTCGCTACAGAACGAACGTACCTGAAGGATTTAGAAGTTCTCACTGTGGTATGAAATCTAAGTCCTTTATTACTTTGTCTTCTTTAATATAATCTACACCAGAAATATAGCTTGTGGCCACCTGAGGTGTACATGTTTATATTCTATTAAATATATTGCCTTCAAGCCTATCTAAGTCCAGTCAGAATATTGAGTCCAAGTTTTTTGTAAAACTAGTATCCATTTGAAGCTTTTCACCCAGAATCGTTTTCCTATGTTGTGAAAATTGGGCAGTCAGCCAAGAGGATAGCTGTAGCACTGATTTGAACAGTGGGGACTCTGGGATCGGTGCTGGGTGTCCTATGGCTACAGACAATCAGGGATGAGGTCCCTCGGTCACCCTGAGCTCTTCCTGCAGTGGTTCCGCAGTGCTGTGGTCAAGGAGGACGCCATGCCTGCAGACCTGATGACCCTGCTCTTCTCCAACATAGACCCCATCTACGAGTTCCACAGAGGCTTCCTGCGCGAGGTGGAGCAGAGGCTGGCGCTCTGGTAACACCCTGCATACCTGGCGGCCCCTGCCCTGGACCCCCACCTCGGTGGCTCCACCCTTGTGGCTGGATCACTTCCTCGGGAAATTCCCAGCTTCAGAAACGAATTCATAAGAACCATTTTTTCATCGAAGTATATTTTTAAAATTTGTGGGGGGAGTAGACCTATAACAGCCACTTTTGTTCTTCCTATTCCAGAAGTAAAAGTAGATCCCCTTTTTTGCCTCATTACCGTCTCCTGTCAAATATGGGCCTTCCACCTCTGAGCATCTCACTGCCATTCTGACTATGACTGGGACACCCAGGCACACTAGCGTCAATCAAAGTACAGCTCACAAGTTTTAACAAGGTTTTGACAATATTTGTCCATCTCTACTCCAGGGAAGGGTCTTCCAGTGCCCATTCCTCAGGCGACCATCAACGGATCGGTGACATCCTGCTCAGGAACATGCATCAGCTAAAGGTACCACTGGTTCATGTGATGACTCCACGCCTAGCAAGTGACAGCCACCCTCAGCCTTGCCGTCAGGGCAGCATCCCCTCAGAGCAGTCATCCCCTGGACGCAGCTTCCCCTTGGGCAGTTTTCCCCTCTGGACAGCTTTCCCCTAAAGACAGCTGTCACCTCAGAGCCCATTTCCCCTCGGGACAGTGTTCCTTGTGGGACAACAATCTTCCAGGAGGCTTTTCCCCCCAGGACAGGGGTCCCCCAGGATAGTGTTTGCCTCAGAACCGAATTCATCTCAGGTCAGTTTTCCCCTCAGGGTAGCTTTCCTCAGGACACCCTTCCCCTCAGGACAGCGTTTTGTTCAGGACAGAATTTCCCTCACGGTAACCATTCCTTCTGGGCAGCGTTCGTTCCCCTAGAATGACACACAAGTCAGGGTGCCGTTCCCCTCAGATCGGGATTCTCAGGCCACCATTCCCTTTAGGACAGCTTTTCCCTCAGGACGGCAAAACCTCCGGGTGCCTGGGTGGCTCAGTCAGTTATGAGTCCAACTCTTGGTTTCCACTCAGTTCATGGTCTTGCTGTTTCACGAGTTCAAGCGCCAGGTCAGGCTCTGTGCTGGCAGCAAAGACTTCTTGGAATTCTCCCCCTCTCTCTGTCCCTCCCCCACTCGCACTGTCTCTGTCTCTCTCAAAATAAATAAACTTTAAAATTTTTTTATTTTACTTAAGTTTTGGGTTTTTTTTTTTAATGTTTTTTAATGTTTTTTATTTATTTCTAGGAAAGAGAGAGAGAGACAGCGTGAGCAGGGGAGGGTCAGAGAGAGAGGGAGTCACAGACTGAAACAGGCTCCAGGCTCTGAGCTGGCAGTCAGCACAGAGCCCAACGCGGGGCTCGAACCCACGAACCACGAGATCATGACCTGAGCGAAAGTCGGACGCTTAACCGACTAAGCCACCCGGGCGCCCCTGGGGTTTTGTTTTTTTTTTTTAATGTTTGTTCATTTTTGAGAGAGAGAGAGACAGAGCACGAGGTGGGGCAGACAGAAAGGAGACACAGAAACAGGTTCCAGGCTCTGAGCTGTCAGCACAGAGCCCGATGCGGGGCTCAAACTCACAAACCATGAGATCATGACCTGAGTGGAAGTCAGACACTCAACCAACTGAGCCACCCAGGTGCCCCTAAAAATTTTTTTTAGAAAAGACTGCAGACCCTAAGGACAGGGTCCCTCAGTGTAGTTTCCTCTTCAGGACATCAGGACATCATTCTCCTCAGACACCCCTCCCCTAAGGATAGCATTTCCCTCAGGACAGCATGAGAGGGGATAGCATGCTGAGGGCTGGCGCTCCTGACGCCTGCTGCTCCGTGAGCCACAGTGGGGCGTCAGCCCCTGGCTGCCCCATGTAGCTGGTGCTGCCCTTGCCGAGCCACCAGCTGCAGTGGGATGTGCAGGAATGTCCAGCTGGCACTGGGTTTTTGTACACAGGTCTGCCAGCTTAGGGTTCAGGTTGTTTCCCTCAGAGGTGTTAGAGCTCCCGCAAGGGAATGTTCCAAGGAAAGGATTCTGGGGAGCCACAGTGAGCAACATGGTCTCTCATTAGGGCCACTTGTCACAGGTGTTGAAAACAATGGAGCCAGCTCTGCTTTTGCTGTTCGGGGGTCTTACTCTAGTGCTCGTCCTGAAGCAGCCCTGCGGCATCCTGCCCAGGGACTCAAACCCTTCTCGTACTGCCCTGGGCCCCCAAGCCCTCACGCCCACTCGCTGGGCTGGCCGCCGCCTCCGTGCCAGGCCTGGCCTTCCACCCAATCCAGCCAGATTCCTGACACACCTGTAGGCCCCATTCCACTCCTAGAGGCCTGAGGGGCCCACAGGATCTCTCCATTTGTCTTCAGATAGCCCTGCTTGGAGCCCCTTCTCTTACCCTGAGACCTTTTTTGGTTTTCTGAGCCAGGTGGCGAATTCGCCATTTCTACCCCAAAAGCACTTGCACAAATTTTTTTTTTTAATTTTTTTTTTTTTTTTTTTTTTCTAGGAGAGAGAGAGACAGCGCGAGCAGGGGAGGGTCAGAGAGAGGGAGTCACAGACTGAAACAGGCTCCAGGCTCTGAGCTGGCAGTCAGCACAGAGCCCGACGCGGGGCTTGAACCCACGAACCGCGAGATCATGACCTACGCGAAAGTCGGACGCTTAACCGACTAAGCCACCCAGGCGCCCCAACTTGCACAAATTTAAAATCAAAATACACACAAATATGTTTGAGGTTATCGTATCACAGACGTTATGTGTAACATTAGCAAAACAAACTGATTTAATATCGAAACCTTCTAGAAGGTAGAGAGGGACTGGTTGGGATTATCTGTGTAATACTCAGAATCCATTCACGTGTGCTTTGACCGGTGCTATAAGAATGTTAGGAGTGATTATTTCCTCTCTGACAAGTGGCTTAAACACCTGCTCCGCTCTCTGCGTGCCCGGGACCCGCGGCTTCTGCGGGCTGACGGCAGAGCGGAGCTTGATCTTTCCCCGCCGACCGGCACCGCCGTGTCGTGTGAGGCAGCTCGTGGCCCTCTTGGCACCAGTCCTTCATCTGTAAAGTGGGGCGAAAGCGCTGTGTCTGCTGAGCACGTGTGGCGGAGACTGGGCTGCGGATGAGCCCCACGCTGCCGTCTCTGCAGTTTGGTCTTGTGCACACCGGGCCGTCCGTTTCTGTCTTGCCACACATTTCCGGCTGGCGTATGTCATCCACACCGACCAGCCTGTCCGTGCAGCCCCCTCTCCCGCGCCTCCTAACCTAAGACCCTGCCTTTTATGCCTCACAGGAGTTCACCGGCTACTTCCAAAGGCACGACGAAGTCCTGACAGAACTGGAAAAGGCCACTAAACGCTTTAAGAAGCTAGAGGCGGTATACAAAGAGTTCGAGCTCCAGAAAGTCTGCTACTTGCCTCTTAACACGTTCCTGCTGAAGCCCATCCAGCGGCTGGTGCACTACCGCCTGCTGCTGAGCCGGCTGTGTGGGCACTACGCGCCTGGGCACCGTGACTACGCCGACTGCCGAGGTGAGTGTGGGCTGGGGCCCCTGCCCCCTAGCGCCGCCACGGCCGGATGGGTGGGACCCGGGCTGGCCAGGTGCCGGAGCCGGTGTGGCCACAGCTCTGAGGGCATCGCTACGGGGCAGGAGCACATGGGCTTTCTCACGTGGGAAGCGCAGGGTGTGCGGCTTCCCCCCTGGAGGGCCGGTCTGGCCGCTATTGGCCCTGCCTCCCGCCCTCCCCTCCCCCTAGCTGACGGAGAGGTGGGTGCCGGTCCTCCAGCACCGCCACCCCAGGGCACGCTCTTCTCTGCACATGTGCGCGGTGTAGGGAAGGGCTCCCGTTGCCTTGCAAAGTCACAGGGAGTGGCCTCCTGCTGTGAGGGCCCCCCTCCCCCCCAACGTCCACTGCTGGTGGGAGCAGTTCTCAGAGTGACCATTCCTGGCCTTGAAGCTTCAGCTCTAAAAGTCCAGCATGTGGGCCAGGATGGCCCATTTGAAATTTCTATATACATGGGCTTGGTCATTTTTATTTGTGTTAAAGGAGCAAAGGAATCCTGAGCTCAAAATCCTGAGCTCTTAAACCTACAAATGGCTTCTAGTTTTGTACTCCTGCTGCTGGGGGTTCGTACAAGTCAGTCCACCACTGTCACTAAAAGATGAAAGATTATTTAGCTTTTCCTTCTAGCTGGTCCCCCCTAGTCCTAAAGGGGAATAAATAAGATACTTTCTGATGGGTCATATGATAGTGACATCTCCCTTCCTCTTCGTTCCCAAAGCGAGTGTCTTCTGCTCACTAAAAGGACAAAATTGTCAGAAATGCTTGTGAGCACATTTAGGGAAATATAAGTGCAGCGCATTTATAAAGCTCCCGGTGGCCGTGGGGTGGGCGGTGCTGGCAGGGGAGGCCCGGGCTCCGGGATGTGGCGGGGAGGCCAGTGCAAGGACAGAGGGCCGGGCCCCCTTGCTCCCGTCAGCTTCCCACTCAGCAGAGCCCATCCCAATGGCCGATGGGAAAACCCGTTGAGGCTGCGTTTCTGAACACACCGTGTAAATCGTTACGACAGTGTTGATAATCCGACAGCCTGGATGGGTTTGCTTTGGAGCCTGGCCGTCCCTAGAGCACTGGCAAAGCCATGCGTGAAGCATAAGCTTAGTGGACAGCAGCGCTCAGGCCCCTCCTCACCTGCTCCCTGACCTCTAGGGCCTCCTTGAACCTGCTGGGCAAAAGGGGATCCCTTTAGGTTAAGGCTTGCGTTGTTTTTGTGTCCTTTGTTCGGTAAGGGTCTCCCAAGGTCACGGCCTGGCACTGGCTAGGCGCCACACGTGCGTGTCCCATCCCTTGACATCACGATGGTTCTGTGGAGACTTGGGCACAGGTGGGCCTGGGACATCAGGTTAGCAATAGGTCAGAAGCATGTCCCCAGCTTCCAGCAGCTTCCAGGGCCAACCAACGTGCAGTACGAGCCTGTGTCCCAGCCCTGCACTCCATGCACACACAGCGTCTGAAAGCAAGTGGCACTGGCTAGGCAGCCCGCACCGCAGGGCAAAGCCAGTGTCTGCCTGACAGCGCGTCCAGACTTTCGGGGGCCCTGCGGTGTGACAAGGCCAGAGGGGGCAGGCGCTCAGGAGCGCGCATGGTCCCCGGGACTCTTACAGTGTTTGGCCGCGTCACACACATGTCGTTTCTGGAGGAGTAACTCAGCAGAGCACGAGCTTTCTTCTCTGACTTGATCCTCTTAAAGCTGTGAGGCCGGTGTCATCACCCCACTGGGAGCAACCAGCTTGCAGGGGTGGAGCCGAGGGCAGACGCTCACACCGTGCCTCTTGCGCCCCCCAGGCAGCAGTGGCCAGGCTGTCAGTGGGAGTTCTGGAGGGAGGACAGAAGATTCTCTGAGGCGTCCCAGCGAGGACACAAGATGTGGCCACTGCGCTCAGGCCAAGTGGTTGCTCCCAGTGTGGCCTGGTCGGGGCTGCGAAGATCACCCTCAATGGCTGCTTTTGTGTTTTGTCTGGATGAGTTTCCCGTCCTGATGATAAACCTCCATATCTGTTCTGGAACTAGAAGATTAGCATTCCTCCACTCAAGGAGAAAAAGACAAAGGTTTTGAAGATGCACATTATTCGCCTTCAAACTACAGTAGCTGATGCTCCCTAAAGGACAAATACAGCTGTGCTCAGAACATAGTTATTCACACTCTCCTTCCTCTTTTCCAAGCCTGAGTGTTAGCTAGTCGGTGGTTTGGATGGAACAAGTCCAGATTTCGAGAGATCTGCAGGAACCCCCACGTGCTGTACCTGGCAGCTAAAAACCATGGACGCCAGTCCTGTGAGCAGTTGGGAGTAGAATGTTCCTTGGATTAAAACTGCCTTTTAAAATGCCAGTCCCATGGGGCGCCAAAGAGGCTCAGTCGGTTAAGTGGCCGACTTCAGCTCAGGTCATGATCTCGCGGTTCGTGGGTTCGAGCCCCGCGTCAGGCTCTGTGCTGACAGCTCAGAGCCTGGAGTTGCTTCAGATTCTGTGCCTCCCTCTCTCTCTGACCCTCCCCTGCTCACGCTGTCTCTCTCTCTCAGAAATAAATTTTTTAAAAAAACATTAAAAAATAATAAATAAAATAAGATAAAATAAATAAAATAAAATAAAAAATAAAATAAAATAAAAAACACCAGTCCCTGTTGCAGAGGTGTGGGTGGAGGGTTCTGCCCATGCCTCTGGCCCGGGTGCCTGTCCTGAGGGGTCTCTCCTCACAGATGCCCTCCAGGCCATCACAGAAGTGACCTCCACACTCCAGCACAGCCTTGCCCGGCTGGAAAACCTCCAGAAACTGACAGAGCTGCAGCGGGACTTGGTCGGCATCGAGAATCTCATCACTCCCGGCAGGGTGAGTGACTTCGAGAAAGTTTTGTGAGATGGTCACCTAATTGTTTGGTCTTTTTATCCAGTGTAAACACAACACATTGCTGTATTAGCTTCAGGTGCACAGTATAGTGATTGTCCTGTGCTCATCAGGGTGAGCGGCTGCCCACCCACCTCCCCTCTGGGAACCACCAGTGTTTTCTCTATGGTTAAGATTCTTTGGGGGGTTTGTCTCTTTTTTTCATCCATTTGTTTTGTTTCTTAAATTCCACGTATAAGTGAGATCATATGGTATTTGTCATTCTCTGGCTTCTTTCCCTTAGCATTATACTCTCTAGATCCATCCATGGCTTTGCAAATGGTAAGATTTCATTCTTTCTTATGGCTGAGTAATATTCCATTGTATGCATACGCCACACGTTCTTTATCCATCCGTCAGTGGCCACTTCAGTTGCTTTTATATCTGGGCTACTGTAGATGATGCTGGAGTGAATACAGAAGTGCAGCTAGCTTTTCAAATAGTGTTTTCTCTTCTCTGGGTAAATACCCAGGAGTGGGATTACTGGATCATATGGTAGTTCTGTTTTTAATTTTTTGAGGAACCTCTATACTGTTCTCCAGAGCAGCTCCACCAGTTTGCATTCCCGCCAGCAGTGCAGGAGAGTTCCTTTTTCTCCACATCCTCACCAACATCTATTGCTTCTTGTGTTTTTAAGTCATTCCAATAGGTGTGAGGTAATCTCTTGTGCTTTCCATTTGCATTTCCCTCATGATGAGTGATGTTGAGCATATTTTCATGTGTCTGTTGGCCATGTGGGTATCTTCTTTGGAGAAATTTGTTCATGTCTTTTGTTCAAATTTTAATTGGAGTATTTGTATTTTTCATGTTGAGTCATGTAAGTTCTTTATATATTTTTGATACTAATCCTTTCTCAGATTTCCTTTGCTGTGCCAAAAATAAAAAACTTATTTGGATGTAGTTCCAATAGTTTATTTTTGCTTATGTTTCCCTTGCCTCAAGAGAGAGATCTAGAGGGATGTTGCTGAGGCCAATGTCAGGGAAATTACTCTGAAGTTTCCTCTTCTAGGATTTTTATGGTTTCAGGTCTCACATTTAGGTCTTTAATCCATTTTGAACTTATTTTGCATGTGGTGTGAGAAAGTGGTCCAGTTTCTTTCTTTTGCATGCTGCTCTCCAGTTTTCCCAGCACCATTTGTTGAAGAGGCTGTCTTGTCCCCATTGTGTGTCCGTGCCCCTTTTGTCAAAGGGCAGTTGGCCATATAATCATGGCTTTATCTCGGGGCTCCGCTCCGCTGCTCTGTGTGTCTGTGTGTCTGTGTTTGTGCCGGCGCCACCTCGGTTTGATGACTGCCTCTTTGTAGCAGGTCTTGACCTCTGGGATTGTGATGCCTCCAGCCTCATTCTTTTTCACTTGGTTGCATGTAATTGAGACATGAGTCACATACCACGTAATTCCTCCTTTAAAGCAGGCAGTCCAGTGAGCTGTAGTGTGTCCACAAGGCTGTACAACCATCACCACTAATTCCAGAACGTTTTAATCCCCCGCGAAAGAAACCCTGTACGTGTTAGTCACTCCCCTCCCCCGTACCCAATCCATGGCAGCTACTAATGGGCTTTCAGTGCATTTGCCTCTTCTGGACGTTTCCTCTAAGTGGAATCACTATGTGGCCTTTGTGTCTGGCTTCTTTCACTGAGCATCATGCTTTTTGGGTTCATGTTGTAGCCCGTCAGGGCCTCACTCACTTTTGTGGCTGTAAATCCCCTTCAGTGCATACAGCGTACTCTCTGTATCCGTTCATCTGCGGCTGGACATTTGGGCTGCCTCCCCTTTATGGGGACCGTGAACGACACTGCTGTGAACATCTGTCCCTGCCACACGGGTCCTTCTGCGAGCACATTTTTAGTTTTCCTGGGTAGACACCTAGGAGTGGACCTGCTGGGTCATGTGGGAACTGGGCTGAACCTTTTGAGAAACTGCCGGTTTTCCAGTCTTGCACAGTTACTAGACAGCTTTACATCCCCCCCAGGGGTGTGCTGGGGTCCCGGCTTCTCCATACCTCGTGCCTGTGATTCTAGCCATCAGGCTGCTACGGAGGGGTCTCACCGCGGTTATGATTTGCATTTCTCACATGGCCGATGCCAAGCTTTGCCATGTGTTCGTTGGCCGTTTGTGTGCCTTCTCTGGAGAAATGCCTCTTCGATCCTTTCTCCGCCTGGTTGTCTTTTTGCTGTTGAGTTGTGAGATTCTTCATCTGTTTTGGATACCAGACACTTACCACAACAGGATTTGTAAATATGACCTCCCATCTTGTGGGTTGTTTTTTTTACTTTCTCAGTAGTATCACTTACAACACAGAAGTTGTTGGGTTGGGTTTTGTTTGGGTTGGTTAGAATTTTTTTTTTAATTTTTATTTATAAATAAAATAAATGTTTTTTAATGTTTATTTACTTTTGAGAGAAAGAGACAGAGCATGAGTGGGGAAGAAGCAGAGAGAGGGAGACACAGAATCCGAAGCAGCTCCAGGCTCTGAGCTGTCAGCACAGGACCAGACGCAGGGCTCCAACTCACGCACCATGAGATTATGACCTGAGCTACAGTCACACGTTTAACTGACTGAGCTGCCAGGCGTCCCCAGAAGCTTTTCATGAAATCCAGTTTACCTTTTCTGTCTTGGGTTGCTTGTGCTTTAGGTGTCACGGCTTAGCCATCACTGCCGAGTCAATGGTGTGACATTGCGTGTCTGTTTTCTTCTAGAAGCTTTCTGTGTTTCAGCTTTATATTTATTTACTAATGTTTATTTATTTTTGAAAGAGAGCATCATCATCAGGGCGCCTGGGTGGCTCAGTCGGTTAAGCATCCGACTTCAGCTCAGGTCATGATCTTTGTGGTCCGTGAGTTCAAGCCCTACGTCGGGCTCTGTGCTGACAGCTCAGAGCCTGGAGGCTGTTTCCGATTCTGTGTCTCCCTCTCTCTCTGCCCCTCCCCTGCTCACACTGTCTCTCTCTGTCTCAATAACAAATAAAACATTAAAAAGAGAGAGAGAGCATCAGCAGGAGAGGTGCAGAGGGAAAGGGGGACAGAAGACCAAAGTGGGCTCCATGTTGACAGCAGACAACCCAACACGGGGCTCCAACTCGTGACCAGTGAGATCATGTCCTGAGCCGAAGTTGGACACTCAGCTGAGCTACCCAGGCGCCCCTCAGCTCTTATATTTAGATTTGATCCATTTTTTGTTCGTTTTTATGTGCGCTGTGAGGGAGGGGTCCCACTCCATTCTTTCCCATGTGGACACCTAGTATTCTCAGCACCATTTGTTGAACTCTCGGGAGACACAGATGTGCAGGTTTCTTGCTGAACCCTGGCTCTCTTCCCTGGGTCTGCATGTCTCCTGGGCTGCTGATTTCGCCACTAATGCTTTTTGCTTTGAACTTAGTACTATCAACCTAAGAAAACCTTTTTATTTCTTTTCTTTTCTTTTTTTTTTTTTTTTTAATTTCTGAGAGAGAGACAGCATGAGCAGGGGAGGGTCAGAGAGAGAGGGAGATACAGAATCTGAAACAGGCTCCAGGCTCTGAGCTGTCAGCACAGAGCCCGACGCAGGGCTCAAACCCACAAACCATGAGATCATGACCTGAGCCAAAGTCAGATGCTTAACCCACTGAGCCACCCAGGTGCCCAAGAAAACCTTTTTAAGGGTTGCATGGGGATGTTTCTTGTCTTAACACAAATGTGTGTAATTAGACTGTGGTATGTAAGTCACGTGTCCATGTTAGCCTTGTTAGAAGGTACAGAGAATGTGGGGTCACAAGGACAAAGAAATGAGCTACACTAAAATGTATAGGAAGGGGGCGCCTGGGGGGCTCAGTCAGTTCAGCGTCCAACTTAGGCTCAGGTCATGATCTCACAGTTCGTAGATTTGAGCCCCATGTCGGGCTCCGTGCTGACAGCTCAGGGCCTGGAGCTGCTTCGGATTCTGTGTCTCCCTCTCTCCCTGCCCCTCCCCTGCCCAAGCACTGTTTCTGTCCTCTCTCAAAAATAAATAAAACTCCTCCTGGAGTCAGGGCTTTGGTTGATACCCAGACAGCTTCGTTTCCTTTCTCCCCATGACCACGCGGCTGCAGGGTTCTGCTCCTGGCAGTTTCCCTGGCGCCCCACACGGGGTTATAGGTGGTGGCCCCAGGGAATCATCACTACGGGGACTGGAAAATCAGGGTGGGTGCTCTGTGTGGCCCGGGCCGGCTGCTCCACCTTTGGGGCCACAGGGAGGCTGGCGTCAGCTGCTAGGCTCAGCGCCTGGCGTGAAACGGCTGGTATGCAAACGCTTGGTGCCATGGTTGTTTTTAGCCCAAATCTCTGTCTTTATGACCCAGGGCTCCTGCTAAATGCTCGTGTCAGAGACAGGAGCCACGCCAGGGATGTGAGCAGAGGAATTTAAGAGCCAGGATTATTAACTAGGAAGAAAGCTGATAACGAGGTACCAGAGGGTCAGACGAGCCGTATGAAGGAGGCAGAACACAGGTGCTGCCCAGGGCGAACCCGTGGTGCTGCGGGCACCCTCACACTCCGCCGAGAAGGGGCAGCTGCCCAGCGGGTCCCTGGGTGGCAGGGGAGGAGCCAGCCGTGTAGGGGCAGGAGCCTGCAAACAGGATGGGGAGGGGCTGGGCTCCCCGCTCACCCTCTCCAGGAAAGCAGGACTGCACAGGCGGGTCCGCGGGGTTCTAGGCAGTCCTCCTTTATATGCCCTCGGGTCCTCGGGGTGTGAAGCTCATGCTCCCACTTATCTACAAGGAACGACAGATAGCAGGAGAATGTCTGGAAAATGTCCAAACCAGAATTCTTCGGGAGTACCAGGACCGACCCTTCCTGCCCCCGGCGGCCCTGGGCAGTGGTGCTCCAGGCAGGTGGGGGAGTGTGAGGGTGTCCCTGGGTCCTGGCGGTGCAATGGGACCCCGGTGGCAGAGGCCGCCCCCTCTCCTCTTCCTCCGTGGAGGGACTGGCCAGGAAGAGTGCGGTGCCCCATCCGCAGCTCCAGCCCCACCAGGGCCTCAACCCCCTTGGTGGGAAAGCCTGTGTGGTTTTGGGGATCTTTTCTCCAACGCCAGGGCCCAGGCTGCAGCTGACACTAACAACCTGTGAGCATTCAGTGGGTCCAGCCGTCCCGTCCTCCTCCCTCCCATTCTCAGGCTGCTCTGGCCCAGTTTTTCCTCAAAGGTGAACTCAGGTACCTATCTGTGTATATGAACCTTCCAGAAGCTTCCCCTCAACAAGAACAATACCCTTTGCTGTCCTTGAAGCCCCTCAGCATAGCTGGCCGGGAGCGAGATGGGTCTGCAGATGTCAGCAGAGCCTGGGGACCGACTTGGGATCCAAGGGAGGTCGGGGGGAGGTTTGGAAAAGCATGGAGCATCCTGGGCAGGCGGGCGCTGCCAAAGGGCCAGGGGCCTGTGAGTGGCTCATCCAGACAGGCTCAGAGAAGTGTAAATGGTGACATTAAACTGGCCCTTGGCCCCGCCAGCACACCCGCAGAGGTGGCCTTTGGCACAAAGAGAACCTCATCTCTCTCTTTCAGGAGTTTATCCGCGAGGGCTGCCTTCACAAGCTCACCAAGAAGGGCCTGCAGCAGAGAATGTTCTTTCTGGTAGGTGGGGTGGGTGTGGTTGCGTCCTGTGAGCAGGCCAGAGTCAGACAGGAGCCCACCTAGGACTGCGGGAAACACTCCCCGGAGGCGCCTTCCTCATTCTGTGCTCCGGGCGCCTGTCAGGTCCATCAGAAAACCGAATATAGAAAAGTCCGCGTTCCCGTTGCTGCAGGAATGTTAGGCTGAGCGCTGGCTTTGCCTCGGAGAGAGGCCCTCCCAGCAGGTCTCCTGGATCACTCCTTCCTCGTGCCACGTAGGGCACCAGCCTGACCCGTCCTGGCCCAACTAGAAGACCAGCCAGAAGTGCCCACCGCCTCCGGCCGGCGGGCACCGGGCGCAGGCCTGAGATCTGCCGCTCCTGCGGTTACCAGCTCGTCAAAATAATTGTGTGACTGAAAAAAAAAATCCCTTTCTTGCCCAAATTCTGCAGCAAGCCGAACAGATTGATAACCACGTAAAGGCCCTGGGCACTGAAGTTGGTCTGTTAAGTCACTGAAACTTGTCACTTGTTCTTAAGCTTCGTGTAACACAGCCTCTTGCATCAGTTCTCAGATGTGCTGCTCTACACGAGCAGAGGCGCCGCGGGCAGCAGCCACTTCCGGATCCGGGGCCTCCTCCCGCTCCGCGGCATGCTGGTGAGTGCGGGGCGCCCGCCCGTCCCCGTCTCTGTCCCTCCTGGCGCCACTCCCCTGGGGGGAGACCCCAGCCGGGTGCTCCGGGAATGGGGCTGACACAGCTTTTGAAAAAGAACCCTGACCCGCTAGTTCTGAGGACTGGGGAGCCCTCCTCTGCTCGCGAACTCACCTCTCCTCACACGCCGTTCTCTCCACACCCTGACCGCTCCCAGTCACGTCACACGCATGCACATGCACACACAGTTTCATAACCGGAAGACAGCACCACCGACGACACGCCATCAGGCTGCAGTTGGGGGCCGGGCTCGGGCCTCCCCGCCACGTCCTGTGAGCTGGCCACAGGGAACGCCGCACCCCCTCCATGCGCCGCTGTAGCGGCCTGGGCCATCGGCGACCCCGTGGCACAACGTGCCCTCTGTCCACACCACGCACCGGTCAGCGTGTCTGTGTCCCCCCAGCACAGGCACGACCAGACACTTCGGTGTGGTCTCCACGAGCCCTTCGTTTTGATGTGACCCAGTTCCTCAGCCCTAACCTTTTGTGGTCGGTGCTTTCTGTGGCCTGACGATGACCCCGCGTGAAGGTCTGAGAGAGATTTCCGCACACCCCTCCCTGCCCTCAGCCCAGACCCCATCTTTGGGAACCGTAAAGACGGCTGGCCAGATTCGGGTTCTGGCCACAGAGGTGTGCCATTGGTCCAGGTCGGGCCACGCTGCAGTGAGCGTCTCCCTGCAGTCCCCCCCCCCCCCCCCCCATTCTGGGCGTCCGCCCCTGGGGCACTCGGACACCCCTCTGCTACATGTGGCTGGTCTGCCTCAACCTCCCAACCCTTCTTCCAGGGCGCTCCCCCTTCCTGGCCCCCGGTGTTCCTCGGCACTGTCCCTCCTCGTGGGCACCTGGGCCGGTAACGTTTGGTTGTTCTCTAGCCCTCAGCACAAAGGGGCCTGTCTGAATGCACGCAGCTGCCCTCACTGGACGCAGACCCCATCTGTTCTAAAGTATATCTTTTAAAATTATACTTTTATTATAGAAAAAAAACCCAGAAAACATAAAAATCACTCATAACTTCACCACCAAATAACACGCACTGCTGGCATGTTGCGACATGCCCTTCAGGCTTCTCCTGTACTGGAACCTTCCTGGGGGCCCCGGCGCATTCACCTACAAGCTGTTCTGTGACTTGCCCTGTTCTTGCTCAGCGGTTTGGCCCTAACGTCCCGTGCTTGTAACATGCTTGGCTCTGTGTGCATTTACCGGAGATGACTGGCGGACCGGGAAGCCAGTCTCCGGTTTTCTTAACTATTTCCCGACACCGGACAGTATGGTTCCGTTTAGTTTTTCAGAATTAGAAATAACACCATTGGATTTCGGTCTTTCCACACCTCCCTGACTGCGCCCAGCACACGCTGGTTGAGCCTGGGGCACGCTCGTTTTAAGGCTCCAAGTATCACCTCTGGTCACCGTCGGAACATACGCACGGGCCAGCCTCTCACTCAGTGCGCCCGAGCCTCTTTCCACGGAATCAGGGAGCACTGGGCCCTCACCCCTCATCCTTCACCGTCCGGGGAGCGGCGCGGCCTCCGGACAGTCACGGAGGCTGACGGAGTCCGTGTCTCCCGGAACCTGGGGCCTCCCTGAGGCGGCGCCGGGTGTCTGCTGCCGCATCTCTGTGGTCAGCTGCTCCCACACATCCGTGCCGCATTCACAGACGCCGCCGCTCGCGGAGGCCGCGCACCCCTCCCCGCCCCGATGGTCTTGCCTGCGGTTTGGTGTGATCTGGTGGGACTGGAAGTGCGCTGGTCAGGGGTCGTGTGGGTCTCCCTCCTGGGCCGGAACCTGGCACGGGAGGGAATTCAGACATTTTTATACGGTCAGGTCCGTCGTCTTTTCCGTCACGGCTCCCATCCTCCGTGCGGGCCCGGGAAGCCCTTCCCCACGCCAGCATCACACTGGCGTCTTTCCGCTCTTGATATGTTCCGTCTCCTTCTTCCTCCTTCATAAACTGCCTGAACGCACGTCCTCGGGCACAGCCAGACAGGAGCGCCCCGTGTCCCCCTCGCGTGCCGCGTCCTTCGTTGCGTCGGTTTCCCCCGGACCTGCGAGGCTGCCCTCGTCTGGCCCTCGCACTCGGGTGCTTTCTGGGCCTTCTGTCCTGTCTCTCCGGGCCGACGTCGGTCCACATTGTTCTGATCCTGATTCATGTGTCGTGTGGGGGAGGTGCTTTCGGGAAGTTCAACCGCTTCTTGGTCCTCCTTTTTAAAAAGTTCTTTGCGACTCTCAAGTATTTAATTCTTCCAAATAAGCTGAGGAATTGTTTGGACAAATTCCTTCAAAAAACAGCACGGGGATTTCTATTGAATGGCACTATGTTCACCCGACTTAGGGGGGGACGAACGTCCTGACCTCTTGCTGCCCTTTGCTCACGCTTGTTCCAGGTAATTTGTGTGCCGAGTGAGGCGTGGTGGCCGGCACCTCGTGGGCCCCGCACACAGGAGACTGTCCCTCCGCGGGGCTGGCTGTAAGCGGCTGGTCCCGGGGACCAGCCGGCCGGCTCTCATCCTGAGTGCGGAGGGAAGGGTGACGGGTCTTGGCTTTGGGACGAGGACCCCTGTCAAGGTTATGGCTTCCTCCTGGCGCGTGCGGCGTGTGGAGCAATGGCCGCCCTTTCTCCGTGGATTTCCTGACAGCAAGAATTCTGTTCATCAGCTTCCCAGCGGTGACGCACCCTGGCCTCCCTGAACAGCCTCCCTCGGTCACAGGACTAGTCAGTTCTTGTCTGTGCTCTGGGTGTGATCGGGAGTATTTTACTGGGGAGGTACTGCAGTCAGTCACTTGGAACCGTGATCAGTCTGTTAGGGTTTCCTCTGAAGCTAACTTGGTCACGTTAGGTACCAGGTTTATAAAGCGAATTGTCCATTTCCCTTTTTGATAATGAAAATGCTCAACATTTTTTCCTGTGCTTGACTTTCAGCTAATAGTGCTGGACCCACCGGTGAGTAGTCGGGTGCCCTGCGGCCCACAGCTCGCCCACCTGGGTGGCAGGTGCCGTGGCCTGGGGATCCCCGCTCCCCTGTAGCCCCTCGTAGTCAGCAGAGACCTGCGTGGCACAGGGCTTCCGAGGCACCTGTCGTGCCCGCCCCGCTCAGCACGCCCGCCTCTCCTCCCGCCACAGGTGGAAGAGGGCGAGGGTGAGCGGTCTGTCCCACACTGTTTCACCATCTGTGCGGCTCAGAAGACAGTCGTGGTGGCAGCCAGGTAAGTGTGCTCCACGTGTGCCCCCAGCGGCCCAGGGTGGGGCTTCCGGGCACGAGCGGGGTTGTCATGGAGTGTGTGACGCGGGAACAGCTTCTCCCGTGCTGGGAAGCAAGTGACTTTTGAGACCGTCCCCGTGGAGCGGCCACGGTGCTGTCGAGCTGCCTCCGAGCCTCGGCTCACAGCACTCGACCAGGGGCAGCCCATGTGGTTGGTGGCACTCGGGGGCCCCTCATGCCGGGGGAGGGGCCTGCGGGGCAGCAACCTGGGGCCTGGCCTCCACCCACCCCCACGGCCGAGCCAGAGCTCGGGGGCAAATGGCCACTTTCCCCCAATCACACCAGTGGGAAGGAGGCCAGAGCTCCAAGGTGAGCAGGGAGCCGAGCCCCTCCCCTGCGGGAGCTGGGGGTCCCTGGCACCTTCCAGGGGACAGGCATTCCTCCCCCTGGCAGGCACCTGGGCTGCCATCAAAGAGCACAGGACACTTAGCGCCCCACCAGGAGGCCGCGACAGCTTAACTGACCCAGGAACGGGTCCTGTAGTTCAGTGGTAGAGACTTTGAAGGTCTGGTGTCAGGAATAAGCCGCCCCTAGAGAAGTGGGGGTGCGGGCTGGGCCCACAGGGTGGGCCCTCGGACCTTCAGTTGGTGGCAGGGAGCCCCCGGCGGCCTGGGTCTTGCTCAGCGGGCGCTGAGCCTCAGCCCTCCCCCACCAGCACCCGCCTGGAAAAGGAGAAGTGGATATGTGACCTGAACACAGCCATCGACATGGCCAAGAGCGTGGGTGACCCGTCCCTGGCGCTGCCGGGCAGCATGCTCTGCCCTCCTCCCCACAGTGAGTTCCGGCCGGGACGCCCCCTGGGGGGGCCCCCACTGCACCTAAGCAAGCTCCTCTACAGACCCCTTGTCTTGGTCAGGCCTCCTGCTGGCCCCATGCTCTCCTTCCACAGGGAAGGTTCTGGGCACCCCCAACACCAGGGGAGAGGAGGGGGGCGGGGAGGGCCCACGAGCTCTTCCGGCAGAAGCACCGTGTGATCTTGCTCTCCGCCCACTGCTGACCTAGGCCATAGGGTTCCCTGGTCTCCAAGGCCGCAGCCGGCACCGGACCCAGGGCACCCCCCACCCTGCCCCTGCCCGACTCGCCCCGTGCCCCCATCCTCTCTGAGCAGGGGGCCGACTCCTCCCCCAGGGTCCTCGGAGGTGTCTCTGGAACAAGAGCCCGAAGACGCTCGCGGCAGCCACGGGTCCCTGGAGGGGCAGGGCCAGCCCCGGGCCAACACCACAGTGCACGTGTGCTGGTACCGGAACACCAGCGTCTCCAGGGCTGACCACAGCGCGGCCGTCGAGGTGCGGCAGCCCTAAGCGCCCTCTGCTTGCGCTGGCTGTGGGCGAGGGGTTGGGCTGGGCAGAGCAGGGGGTTGGGGGCGGCTGCCAGGCCGCGGGCTGACCGTGACCATCAGGGCCTGTGCGGGCCCAGGAGGGAAGCTCGGAGCCGCGTGTGTGGGTGGAGCCAGGAGGGCGGTGTCCCTGGGGCTCTCCGGAAAGGGGATCTGGGGGGGGGGAGGGGGCGAACCCTCCCCTCCACCTCCATCACCTGGAGTGGCCGCTTCATACTCCAGCCCCCAGCCCCCCTGCCATTCGCTGTGGGTCTGGGGTCCTGTCGCACCTGGGGCAGAGAGCGCCCCCGTCAGCCGGGGCCCGAGAAGCAGGCCACCACCAGCACACCGGGACCCGCCAGCCCAGGGCGTAGAGTGCTGCCTGCCGGCTGGCACAGTGACCACGTCCCTGCAGGGCCCTCGTGAGCATCAGCTCCGACACAGGGCCGCTTGGGCCTCACCCACTGGCCACGCCATGCTCAGGGCCGGGGTGTCTCGTTGGAACTGTGCTAACTTGGCTCCCCGCGGATGGTCACGGCTGGGGATACTGAAAACTGGGAAAAGAAACTTCATGTCCTTCTACTTAGCAGCTGGGACCTCGCTCCCCACATCTGTAAACGTCCTTCCGTCAGACTATTAAATAGACTGACGGCCCAGAGCGCTGGCAAGGAAGCTGCCGCTCAGGGAAGTGTCGTCGAGGCCACAGCCAGGAAAGCTCACGGGGGCCAACGTGCGCTCGGGGACAGAGTCCCAGGACGCTAACTAGTCCCGGTGCCTTTTCTCCCGCAGAACCAGCTCTCAGGGTATTTGCTGAGGAAATTCAAAAACAGTAACGGCTGGCAGAAGCTCTGGGTCGTTTTTACCAATTTCTGTTTGTTCTTCTACAAAACTCATCAGGTAAGGGTGCTCGACAGCCGGGGCGGGGAGGCGGCTGAGCCCGTGGTGTCCCTGCTCGCCGCGCGCCCCCCCGGGGCACCCCGGTCAGTCCCGACGGGGAGGGCGCACCCGCAGAGCCACGTGCCGCCCCGCAGGACGACTACCCCCTGGCCAGCCTCCCGCTGCTGGGCTACAGCGTGGGCGTCCCCCAGGAGGCCGACGGCGTCCACAAGGAGCACGTCTTCAAGCTCCAGTTCAAGTCCCACGTCTACTTCTTCCGGGCTGAGAGCAAGTACACCTTCGAGAGGTAATCCTGCGGCAGGTGCCCCGGGCCGGCTGCTGTCCGCGCGGTCTCCTGCCGCTGCTGAGGGCGCCGGAAGCAGGCGCGCCGGGCCCTGGAAAGAAGGGCTGGGCGCCGCCTCCAGGTCTCGGCCCCGGTGCGGTCCCGCTGGCTCACGTCTGGGGTTGCCCCTGGAGCGGTACTTGGGCACAAGGCCACTGGTATGACCAGAGCACACCCTGAGCCCGAGCGAGCATCCTCCGAGCCTCTGACAGCCCGACCTCTCCTCCAGGTGGATGGAGGTGATCGACAGAGCCAGCAGCTCGCCCCGGAGGGCCAGGCGGCCCGGGGACGAGGCGTGAGGCCCGCGCTGCCCGAGGAGACAGAGCCAAGAAGCAGAGCAGGGTCAGTACCCCCCCGGTGACTGCGGGTCCCGTCTTCCCAACGGCCCCAGGGTGGCTGTGGTCTCCTCGGGACCCGGCGTAGGGCGGGGACGCCTCACAGTGACCCCTGGGAGGGTCGTCATCGCCTGGAGACCCAGCGCAGACCCCGGGAGGCAGGGCCTGCTCGGGGGTGGCAGCCACACCCACGCTCCCTGGCCCACTCTCTTCCAGAGCAGTGCCCCGCGGGGGCCCGACCCAGGGCTGGAACCAGGGTGGCCCTGCAGCTGCGCACCAGGGGACACGTGTCCGCACAAGTGCAGCAAGCGCTGCGGTGCCCGCCCCGCCCACCTCTGGAGGAGTGGACACCGAAGCTCCCGCCTGGCCTCCCGGGCAAGGGCCTCGGGTTTCTCGGTTCCCCGGGGCGTCCTCACAAATCCAAGTAAGCGGACACGGGCTGGCCGTCCATGCGAACGTGCATGCGCGTCTCCCCCGCCTCCTCTCTCCTGCCAGCAGGCCACAGGGTCACCCGGTGGCACAAGGATTCAGGAGCCGGGACCCGCCCGCCACCAGCATCTGACCAATTCAGGTTTTTATTGAAAGTGGCCGGAGCCTCTCAACGTTCTACGAAAACTAACACCTTAACCTCAGAACATTCAGGGAAGCAAGGAAGTTCAGTTTCTTAAAAAAAAAAAAAAAAGAAAAAGTCCTGGCTGACACGAGTCCTCGGGAGGAGACGCGGTACCTGGCGCGACACGAGGCAAACCTGCGCCCGGCACGGCCTCGGGCGGGGGAGGCGGCGGGGCTGCCCCGACAGTCTCTGCTCCTCGCGGCGGCGCCGCGGTGTCTGCGCTCCACTGCCAGGAGGGGTGTGGAAGAGGGACCCTCTGCGCGGGGCGGTGGCCGCGACCGCACAGGGGGCGCCACGCAAAGACCTTTCTCCCGGCTTCGCAAGCAGCAGCGCTTCAGCGGGATGACGTCAGGTGGTTCCTGTTGTGGGAAAACCTGCGGGGGGAGGAGCGGTCACTCCCCGGCAGGAGGGGTGCGGCCCTGGACAGTGCAGGGCTGCGGGCCCAGCCCGCCGTTGGCCCCGAAGGTACAGAGGAGAGAGGACGAGAAGCGGAAGCAGCAGCAGCCCCCGGCCTCACCTCTGCACCCGTTCCACCAGGTGCGCCATCAGCTTGTCCGAGATGCCAGGGCAGGACTCCTCGGCCAGGCTGAAGGCGTTCTCGAGCTCCTCCAGCGCGCCCACGCCGCTGCCACTCTGCCTGTGCTTCTCCTTGAGCTGCGGACAGACGGCCGTGGGCCTGACTGTGAGCCGCCGCCAGCGGGGAGCTCGGGACGAAGGCTGCCCGTCCGCCACAGGGCTAGGGTGGGCCAGGTCCCACCGGGTACCTAGGGCTCCAGCAGAGACCGACGCTGCCCCACCCCCACGGCCTGGCACTGTCACACTGCGGCGGGCCTGGCTAACCACGCGGCTTCCTCCCAACCAAGGGTCACAGAAATCCATGGCTCAGGCCCCTGGGACTTGAGAGAACAGCCCAGAACCCCCAGTGCACGGCACAGCCAGATCAGGGCGCCCGGACCCCTGGGCCCCACCAGCACCAGGGCTGCGAGCAGCAGACCACCCGGGCCCCCTGCCACCCCTCAGAAACTACAGGGAGCCTCCCAGCACACCCCGTGCAGCGGCCTCCACCTCAGGGCCCCCAGGGGGACCCCCCCCAGGCACACATCGCGCACCGCACGGGGTCTCCAGCAGCCCGGCCCTCCTCTCCGGCACTGGCCACCTCCCTCCCCGGTGTGCGACACGCCCGATCCCAGTGTCCCAGCCGAGCTCCACAGGCTCCTGGTCCTCAGCCCCCGACAGTCCCGCTCTTGCCACCTGCCCCTCCCCCACCTCCTCCCCTGCATCTCGGGTCCCTCCAGGTGGGAGCTCTCCTGGCTCCACCCAGATGCCCCCCCCAGGGAGACACCCAAGGGCCCACTCTCCTCAGGGTGGCTCTCTGCACCCCACTCCTCCCTCCCTGGGCTCCAGGCTCTGCTGTCACCTGGGGTGCTACTGACCCCCCATCAGCAGGTGACACACAGGGCCACATGACCACCAGGGAGTCACCCTTGAGGCCTCCCTGCCCCACCCTGACATCCAACACCAAGGACGGGACCTCCCAGGCGCTCTCTCAACAGACGACCATCCCACGTGTTTGACATTCAAAATAAAAGTCACAGTTTTTGGTCAACGCCATCCTGAGATCCCAAACCACCGCAGCGCGGGGGGAACCGGGGAGGTGCCCTCTCTCAGCCACTTCTGCTTCACTCAAAGCCTGGCCCCAGATCCAGGTGCAACCACAACGGGCTTCGAGGGGCCCGGAAGCCCCGCATGCAGGGTGGGGACTGGCCAGCACGCCTCCTCAGGACCCTCGAGGTCACACTGTGGGGGAAGCGCCTCTGCGCAAGTGCGGCAGCCCCGCCCCGGCCCTTACCTCTCCGAACACAGGCCGGACCAGCGTGGACAGACACTGGGACCTCGGCTGCCTCTTGACGGGCTCTGCAGACTGCCAAAGTCAAAGCCCCAGAAGGCGATCAGGGCCAGTGTGCCCCAGGGTCGGGTGTGCCCCCCACCCGACCCGCAGCCGGGTCCTACCTTCTGGGAGCCGTGCAGGGCTGTCCCCTTGTGTAGCTTGCTGTGGGGGCTCGGCCGGATGGTGGGGGGGAACGTCCAGATGGGACCCTGTTCTCCATCCTCAGCATCCCCGTCACTAGGGTGAAAGGTGAAGGGCCGCGAGGAGCATGGGGGGCAGGGATTTGGGGGTCCCAAGGCCCACACCTTCCCTAGCCTCCCCATTTATTTTGGAGAGAACCCCATGGCCCTCAATGCTCAGTAGGCCCGCCCTGGGCTCCAGGGGCCCAGTTAACCCCTCCCCACCCCCAGCCCAAGGCCCAGGGCCATCAGGGTGCATGCCCCCCGGAAGGGCCCCTACATGTCGGAGTCCTCGGAGCTGGACTCCTCGCCGTGCCCCTCAGACTTCCAGCGCTTGTAGCGGTCGATGAGCTCGGTGAGGAAGGAGGTCTTCTTGGTGTAGCGAGTGATGAACTTGTGCTTCAGGAGCTCCTTGGCAGTGGGCCGCTGCCGGGGGAGGGCCCAGGTCAGCCGAGCTCTGCCTTCACACTCCTGGAGCTCACAGCTCCCCCAGGGGACCGGACGGAGGTGGCCACTAGGAGGCTGGGGTGGGCCACATGCTCCCCACCCCAGGGGCTCCCTAGACCTAAGCCCCTGGCAGGACCCACTCTGCACCAGGAAGGGCTCAGGGTAGGGTGAGGCCGGGCGCAAGGAAGGGGCCTCAGGCCCCACCCCCTCCCACGGGGCTGTTTCCTAGGGGCCCGAGTTGCTCAGGCCTGTCCCCAGTCCACCCCCGGGCCGGGGCCCCAGAGGTCGCAGTGAGGCAGGGCTTACGAATCGGGGGTCTTTGTTGAGGCAGGCTTCCACGAACTCCTTGAAAGGCCTGCTGTGGTGGCCCTCCAGGGTGGGCGGGCTGTTCTTGGGGATCAGGAACAGGACACGCATGGGGTGGAGGTCAGAGTTCGGAGGCTCACCCTTGGCCAGCTCGATGGCCGTGATCCCCAATGACCAGATGTCAGCCTGGACGAAGACCCACAGGGGAGCGTTGCCGCTGGGGGTACCCTGAGCCCCGCACGACCCCCCACCCACCACGCCCCGAGCCCCACCGGCCCACCCACCTTAAAGTCGTAGGCTGACTGCTTGATGACCTCGGGTGCCATCCAGAAAGGGGTGCCCACAAATGTGTTCCTCTTGATCTGTGTGTCCGTGAGCTGCCCCGCCACGCCAAAGTCAGCCAGCTTCACGTCACCCTGCTCTGAGAGCAGCACGTTGGCAGCTGTTCGACACAGGATGGAGGGCGTCACCCACAGCAGCTCGCAGAGCCCCACCCTGCGCACAGCTGCTTGAGGGAGCTGGGGACACCGGCGGGGACCTTAGCTCTCTTCTCCATCCAGCAGGCCAGGCACCCAGGACCACTGGGGGGGGGGGGGGGCTGCACCAGGGACCCGCCCCGGTGCCTCCCGCCCCACAGGCCCTCCCAGTGTCAGCCTTTCACAACAAATCGCAAGAACAGAGCTGCCGCCCTCTTCTCCTGAACTGCAGAGCGGGCAGTGACTGACCCTAGCCCTCGCACCCCCAGCTGCCCTGGGCGGGGCTGGCTCCCACGGTGGGGCTGCTCGAGCCCACACGAGCAAGAATCCACACATCTGCTTTAAATAGGTCTCTTACGGGGCGCCTGGGGGGCTCAGTCGGTTAAGAGTCCAACTTCGGCTCAGGTCAGGATCTCACAGTTTGTGGGTTCGAGCCCCGCGTCAGGCTCTGTGCTGACAGCTCAGGGCCTGGAGCTGCTTCGGATTCTGTGTCTCCCTCTCTCTCTGACCCTCCCCTGCTCACGCGGTCTCTCTCTCCTCTCTCACAAGTAAATTTAAAAAATAATAAATAAATAAATAAATAAATAAATAAATAAATAAATAGGTCCCTTCCGACCCAAGGAGCAGAGGTGCTGTGCCCTCCTCACGGGTGCGACACCCTCAGAAAGTTCTGTTACTGGCAGGGTCTGCAGCGATTGAACTACAAGGGTCCCCATGTCCCAGACCCCCCAGCACCGCCAGCCGCACACCCCTCACAGCAACTTCCACCTCTCGCTCTGGCGCTTCTAGGGTTGGGGGGGGAGCACAGGGAAGAGGGACAGGGGCCGCGCCTCCAGGGACCTTTGATGTCTCGGTGGATCTTGCGCTCCGAGTGCAAGTAGTCCAGGCCCTTCAGGATCTCCCGCAGGATGGTGGCGATGTGGGTCTCCTCCAGGGGCCCGGGTTTCAGCTACATGCAGGCAGAGGAGGGACAGCGGGGCCTCAGGCACCCCCGCTGTCCCCACAGTCCCCAGCTCCTTGGCCTCTGCTTCCCCCAGGGGAGGGGTCACCCTGAGCGACTGGTGAAGTCAGATGCGGGGTCAGGTGGGAGTGGGGGAGGCTCTCGGCAGAGCGTCCTCTGCTCTCTCCACTGTCATGAAGGGGGTCCCGGCCACTCCTGCGCCTGTGTGCCTGGGGGCACTGACCTCACCTGCACCCCACGGGCCCAGGACGCCTGAGCACTGACCGGTGGAAACGGACCACGGTTCATTCTGGGGCTGAGAAGGCTCCTAACTAGCCGGTAACACACCGAGGCGGCCACAGACGGGAGGCCCACAGGAGCCGGGGGTCCTCAGGCAGCGGGTCCGGGGTTGCTGCCCCCGACCCCACAGCAACCTGTGTGTCCGCTCCTCCCCACGACCAGCCGCCACTGCTGCGGCCTGTGCCTCACCAGGTCCAAGGCGGAGCCGCCACCCAGATACTCCATGATGATCCACAGCTTCGTGCCCTGGGCCCAGAGAAACGCCCGTCAGCTCACGGCAGGGAGCAGGGAAGGCGGCACCGCCAGGCCAGGGCCCCAAGACGCGCACTTCCCGGCAGGGGACACCCAGAGCCCCGGTCCCTCGGGGACCCACTGCGAAAGGTCCCCAGGGGCCCCGTCCAGCCCCCCGCCTGTCACACCCCCAATGCGACCACCCTGTAGATGTGTAGATGGACCTGGTCCTCAGGCCGGTGCCCGGGTCCTCTGTGCCAGCGCCCAGCGGGAGCCAGGCTGCAGGCACCGCACGCCCGGCCAGCACTTGGCCTCTGGGCACCCGCACCCCAGGCATCCCCTGGGTGGGCCCCCGAAGGGCAGGGGGAGGCCTCCCAGATGCTGTTCCGCAGGGGCTGCCCGGGGCCTGGGGGAGGGCGCGGCCGGGCCGTGGGACGCCACCGCCACTTCAGGGCCGACCGGGTCCCGCTCGTGTCCTACCCACGGGCCTGTCCCGCCCGCCGTCCCCACGCGGGGGCAGACCCAGCCCGAGCCTCCCGAGCAGCCAGGCGGGGTGGGGGCAGCTGCCACAGGCGTCCACCCAAGTGCAGGCCTGGCACAGGCCCCCCCCCCCCCCGCAGGCACCTTCAGGTAGGAGCCGAAGTAGCGGGTGATATAGGGACTGTCGCACTGGCTGAGCACAGTGATCTCCTGCTGGATGTCCTCGATCTCGTCCTCGGCCTCCTCCAGGTCGATGATCTTGATGGCCACCACCTCCTTGGTGCGGTTGTCGATGCCCTTGTGCACCTCCCCAAAGGAGCCCTTGCCGATGCGGTCGAGCTTCGTGAAGAGCTCGTCGGGGTCCACGCGTGGGTGCTGCGGGGACAAGGGGCGGGCAGACGGGGGGCGGCCCTGCCGGAGGGCGCGGCAGCCCGAAAACGAGGAGCTAGGAAGCCCACCACGTTTTTTTTGTTTATGCTTTTTAAATCTCTACACCCAACGTGGGGCTTGAACTCACAACCCTGAGATTGAGAGTCACTCAGGCTTCTGACTGAGCCAGCCAGGCGCCCCCTCCTTTCTTCTTTCACCTCTTTTTCTCCAGGACACCTAGACGTGCCCTCCCCACAAAGGAGCACAGAGGCCTCGGCGCCACCCAAGGGACCAGGCTGTGGAGCAGGCGGAGAGGCCATGAGGGTCATGCCCACCCGCCCACGCCCCACACGTGGACACGTGGGGAGGAGCAAGTGAGGCACCAGGACAGGTTAAAGGGCTAAGTGGGCAGGAGACGGAGACGTGGGGTAGCGAGGCCGCCCCCCAGGACAGCGGGCACAGCGGGGACAGCGAGACCACCCCCCAGGACAGCGGGGATAGCAGGGACAGCGGGGACAGCGAGGCCACCCCCCAGGACAGCAGGGACAGCGGGGACAGCGAGGCCACCCCACAGGACAGCAGGGACAGTGGGGACAGCGAGGCCACCCCCCAGGACAGCGGGGACAGTGAGGCCGCCCCCCAGGACAGCAGGGACAGTGAGCCTGCCCCCCAGGACAGTGGGGACAGCGGGGACAGCGGGGACAGCGAGGCCACCCCACAGGACAGCGAGGACAGTGGGGACAGCGAGGCTGCCCCCCAGGACAGTGGGGACAGTGAGGCCACCCCACAGGACAGCGAGGACAGTGGGGACAGCGGGGCCGCCCCACAGGACAGTGGGGACAGCGGGGACAGTGGGGACAGCGGGGCCGCCCCACAGGACAGTGGGGACAGCGGGGACAGTGGGGACAGCGGGGACAGTGGGGACAGCGAGGCCGCCCCACAGGACAGTGGGGACAGTGCGGACAGCGGGGCCGCCCCACAGGACAGTGGGGACAGCGGGGACAGTGGGGACAGCGAGGCCACCCCACGGGACAGCGAGGCCGCCCCACAGGACAGCGGGGACAGCAAAGACAGCGAGGCCACCCCACAGGACAGCGGGGACAGTGGGGACAGTAGGGACAGCGAGGTTGCCCCCCAGGACAGTGGGGACAGTGAGGCCACCCCACAGGACAGCAGGGACAGTGAGGACAGCGAGGCCGCCCCACAGGACAGCGAGGACAGTGGGGACAGCGAGGCTGCCCCCCAGGACAGTGGGGACAGTGAGGCCACCCCACAGGACAGCGGGGACAGTGGGGACAGCGAGGCCACCCCACAGGACAGTGGGGACAGCGGGGACAGTGGGGACAGCGAGGCCGCCCCACAGGACAGCGGGGACAGCGAGGCCACCCCACAGGACAGCGGGGGCAGCGGGGACAGTGAGGCCGCCCCACAGGACAGCGGGGGCAGCACCCAGTGTCGTGAACCACGGGCCTAGCTGGCAAGAACGCAGCTGTGCGGCCTCTTCACACACAGCTAGACTCGGAGGCGCGGGGGGGGGGGGGGTGGTACGGGCCCTCGCTCGGTTCCCCGCACCCCCGGAAGTGCCCGAGCAACAGTCTATGCTGCCAGCCGGGTCCCTGCACGCCTGGAAGCCACACCCCTTGGAAGTGGCCTCCCCGTCCGGTCCCCAAATCAGTCCTCGAGACAGCTCCAGCCGCACCCCAGCGGGAGCTGAAACCTGATGCTTTCCTGGCTGTTCCATCCCGGAGACGCAAGCACCACACTCACTACCGCACACAGTCCTGTCCTCGGCCCTCATTCAAATAAAGCCTGAAAATCAGCGCCCAGCGGTCTGAGCACCAGGACACGGCCGCCAGAGGGGCGTCTGCCCGTGGGCTGACCCTCCGCGCGTCAGGGGCTGCGGTGGCTCAACACAGGCGCTGCCTGAAGGATGGACCGCCCCTGCGCGCGCGTGGGTCCCCCCCCGCCCCCCGAGAACAGCACACTCTGAGGACACCAAGCAGCTCACTGTGTCCTCAGAGACCCAGCAGCAGTCCCCACAGCCCCAGTGACGAAGAGGGCCAGGTGCCGCGGGGACCCAGGTGGGGCCTGTGGAGGAGCTGAGGGGGGAGCCTAGCGTCTCATCCAAAGGCAGAAAGGGGTTTCCGAGGCCCCGAGACTCGGATCCACCAGGACGCACCTCCCTGCAGAGAGGCTGCTCCCACGGCCCCAGCACCCATCGGCGACAGGGCGTCTTGGTGCCGATCTCAAGCAGCTGGGTGTAAGAGGAAAAAAGTACAGCGTCCCCTGCCTCACCGGCACGAGGGAAGGCCCATCCCGCGGTGGCGGGTGCCCCACGGTCCCGAGGAGGAGAGCCCTCCACGCAGACTCGGCACCCACCCTGGGCTCTCCCCCCCGCAAAGCTCCACATCATGCCTGACTGGCTCCAGATTAAGACCACGCGTCAAAGGAAACTTCCAATTAGCCACTTTCCTGAGGTGTGCGACCGGGAGGGAGGGGACAGCACGCAGGCCCGCACGTGAGCACGGCACGTGGGCAGCCCGGATCCTGAGCACCCGGCGAGCCAGGAGCCCGGTGGGAGAGCTGATGCGGGGGGCCGGGGGCGCCGAGCAGCGCCTCAGCACAGAGTCCCCAAGGGCGGGCGGGCCGGCCGGTTCAGGCACGTGGCCCTTCCTTCCTCACCAGAACCCGCAGCCCAGTGTCCGAGCCAGTGCGTGCAGGGGACAACGCGCAGCGGGGACGTGCGGCCAAGCTATCGCCGACTCCCCACGGCGAGGCTGAAGGCAGGACACAGACAGCTAAGTGCCACTTAGGTCCCTCAGGCCCAACGGCCTGCCACGCATGTTCTGAAGAAAACCAGGACAGGTTGGGTATGTGGCTCCGAGTCACAGCCGCTCACGGTCTTTGGGTGGGGGGAGGGGGTGATCACAAGGCCAGAACCCACCCGAACCCGAGAGGAGGGCCTGGCAGGGCGTGCCCTCTCCCAGCTCCCGGCCCACGCGCTCGACCAGCCGGCGCCTCTCTCGGCGAGCGGGTGGGGGACGCCGCGCTGGGCCGGGACACAGCCCCTCCGGCGCCTGCTCCTCCCGCATCGGGGCCCAGACTGCACCGTCCCGGGGGCTCCTTCCGCTGACTCCACCGTCAGCGCCCACTCGGTGGCCGGGACGTGAGTCCTCCACGCCGCCAGCCTGCCCCAGACGTGCCGGCACAGCCCTGCAGGGCACCCCGCAACAGCTGTCCGGTAACTTCGGTCCAGCCGGTGCCCTAACCTCGCGTCCCCTGTCACTGAAGAGTCCCTCTCCTTAGGTGGCCTCAGTGAAGAGCTAGAGGAGGAAGGACCGACGCCAGGCAGCACCAATCAGCACCGCTGCCTTGGCGGGTCCCCCTCCCACCCTCAGGCCATCTGCTGGCCACAGGTCCTGCTGCTCTGCTCCCCTCAGCCCTGCTGAGGACACCGTGTCCCTCTCTACGCAGAGCCCACACAGCAGCCCGACAAGGGAACCCCCAGACGGGGCGCTCGCACCCCCACTGCTGGGAGAACACAGTGGACCATCAGCCAGAGTTCCAGGCTTGGCAGGGAAGGCGGGGAGCCCTGACCCCCCCCCCCCAACTCTCATACTCCTTGAGTCTCCCCCACCGCAGGCCAGTGAACTCAGCAGTGTGACAAGCATGGCCCTGGCTGCGACCCTGACCCTACCCACAAGCGTACTGCAGGGGCCACCTGTCCCCAGCCCCGCCAGAAGGCAAGGCAAGTAGCGCCTGGGTCTGGGGGCCTCCGGCTGCTTCCCCAGGCAGCGCACAGGGTCTGGGCCAGCAGTAAGGGCTCGGCCAGCCCAGGCGGGCGGCACCCCTGTCCTCCAGCCCTGAAGCTGCCAGGTCTGGGGCCGCTGCCCGGTGATGTAAGGGGAGCGAAGCCATCCCAACCACCACAGGACAGGTGGCAGCCCGGGCGCCCTGCAAGCAGGACAGGAAGGAGCCAGGCCATGGGGTGGGGGTTGGGGGGTGGGGGTGGCTGGGGAGGGGACGGCGAGGGCAGGAGTGCAGGCGGTGGGGTAGCATGGCGCACTGCCCCAAGCAGGGAATGCCCCACGGGGCCACAGTGACAAATGTCTGTAAAGAAAATGACACAATGACAAACTCCCTGCCACTGGCCTCTGAAAGGACAAAGGGGGCTTCCTTCCTGAGGGGTCCCTTCAGATGTGACCTGGATGCCGAGGGCCCACACCAAGCACCGTCTGCACACAGGGATGGGGCGCTCACAGCGCCGATTTCCGGGACCCACAGGGGCCACTCCCACAGCCTATCTTTTCCTTCCTGTTCTCCAAGCGGGGAAAAAAGTATGGCAAAGAGTATTTCTGATTCACCTTGAGAAGTGAAGCCGTGAAGACAGACACATCCTGCCACTGGACTGCGGGACAGCTGAGAGCGTCCCCCAGGGACACCAGGATTTGGAGCCTGGATCTGTCACTTTCTAGGCAACTAGCTTCTCTAAGCACCGAGGTTTTAATCCCAGAAAACAACAGCGCCTGCGTGAGAAGGCTGACGGGAACTGCAAGAGCCACACACGTAAAAGGTGCAGCGCACAGTGACACATCCGCTGAGTAGGTAGATGTCCCGTAGCCGCAGTGGTTATGTTGTTCCCAAATCAATTCATTCTTTGCCCCTGAAGCCTGGAAATCAATGCTGAAGCCCCTAGGCGTGGGTTCAGGGCGGCTGTGCAGCTTGGAGTTGGAGCCGCGGGACTGACAAGGTCTGATAAGGTCGCTCAGCGAGTCCCTAGCTTGCTTCTCAGGGCTTCCTCTGAGGCTTCTGTCACTGGCGGGAACCAGGACCGGGAGGTACGGCAAGTGAGGCCCTTTCTGGGCGCAAACTGTATCCCGCGGCTCTTAAAAATAAGCCAACTTTTCTCCGCGCATCAGTCACGTGACTTCCAGACACACCGTCAAAGGCTAGTGAGGAACCCGCTAGCTCCGCTCCTTCTGCGGGCACCCGCACACACCACTCTCGGTGCGGATGCCAGCAGAGGGGGCCCACCACCCCGCAGCCGCCCGCCCGCCCACGGGGGACACAGCCAAGGCGCCAGCGCCTAAGGAAACCCGGCTTCGCTCCAGCCTCCATCGCCTGGTTTTGAGGCGACATTTTGGGGAGGGGAAACCGCCACCAGTCCCAAGCTGGCTGCCCACCGCTCTCCCAGCGCCAGCAGCGGGCCCTCCGCTGCCCTGCAGGGTCCCCCAGAGCCGGCCAGGTGGTTCCGGGTCAGGAAGTGTAAGAACTGGGCGCTTCTCGCCCAGCTGACAGGCTCTTCAGAGCAGCCCTCCCCAGCTTCCCCGCCAACACACTGGGGCTGCGCACTCGGCTCTCCCGACACACCCACTCACCCGAGAGCCGCTTCCTCGGCTCCTGCCCGGCGTCGAGCGGGGACCCCGCAAACGCAGCCACCCGGGTTCCCAGAGAATCCCACGCGAGCCGCCTGGCCCGCTCTGCCCCCCGGGGTCGCCTCCGCACACCGTCCGCTCCTGCGCGGGGGGCTGTGCTCTGACAAGTCTGTGCGCGTCTGCCCCCCAGAACTCCTGCCCCCTACTCGGCCCACGGAAGTGACCACAGGGTGCCCGGAGGGGCGCTGTCCCCTCGGCGCCGCACTCCTTCCCGCCTGCTCTTTTCAGGAGAGAAGCTCGTAGGTGAAACAAACGTCGCGTCCGGCTCTCCCACGTCCGGGGGCGGGGCAGGCCCGCACCCCGACGCGCACCCCCGACCCAGAAACCACCTTACCTGGTTGGCAAATCCCCTGAGGTGAGCCATGTCTGCGAGGCCCTCGGACCATCCGCTGCGACCCCAGGAGGCCCCTAGATCCTGCCTCGAGGCTCTGGAACCCGGCTCCCCCGCTTCAGTCAACTGCAAGGACAGCAAGCGCGCTCAACGCTGATGCTCACGGTACGCGGGGCTCCCCCGGCCCAGGCGCCCCCGCCCGTCTCGTTCCTCGATGGCCCCACCAACCGGGGCACCCTTCGAAGCCTCTCCCGCCCGCACTCTGGCCTCTGACCTTCCACCAGGCCCTCTGCCAACCCCCCGCCCAGGGCCGGGTCCCCGAGCCCTTTCACGCCCCTCACAGACCCTATCGCCGAGCCCCGCCCCCAGCGCGCCCCCCCTCCCCGAACCTCGCCCCCAGCGCCCTTCCCCCCGCCAAGCCCCGCCCCGCCCCCAGTTCCCTCGGCGCCCTCCACTAGCCCCACTGCCCGTACTGCCCGACACCCCCCACTGCCCGGCCCCCTCCCCAACCGCCACAGGCACGGGCCCGCCCGGCAGCGCGCCCACCTCCGGGGGGCTCCATCCCGGCCTCCCCCGGCCCGCTCCTCAGTGCCCACGAAGGCTCCCACCCGCAGCCTCCTCTCGCTCGGGGACGCCCGGGCCCTCCAGCCCGCGGAGGAGCGGCAGTGGCGGCGGCGACCGGAGAAAGCCCAGCGGCGGCGACGGCGAAGGCGGTGCGCGGTGTCGTGGCCCAGCGCGGGGCTCTCTGGGACACCGAGTCCCACCGTTCGTTCCGCCCTCGAGTGCCCGCCGACACTGGACTACAAGTCCCGGCAAGCCACGGGGCAGGGCGGTGTCGCGGGGCTCGCCGGGACTCGGAGTCGGGCTTCCTGAGCAGCTCTACACTACGTCTCCCAGCAGGCCGCGGGGCGGGGCGGGGCCGGGGCGGAGCCAGGAGGGGTGCAGCGGCCTGGGGTTGGGAGGCGGCCCTTGGGCATGCGTCCTCGCACCCGGGGACTCCCTCCGCTTCCCGCCCCCCCTTCCCCGTCCACTTCCCCCGTTTCCCCTGCCACCCCCGTCTGTCCCCCCTCCTGGTCCCGTCCATCCCCCCACCCTCCGTCACTCGCCTCCACTCACCCGTCCCCCCTCCGCCTTGGGGAGCCTTCGGATGCCGTCTTGGAGCCCCGCGCAGTGCAGCACCCCAAGTATCCGTGGAGGGTGGGACGGAGAAACCGACTGAGGAGGCGCAGAGCCGGGGATACTATCCAGCCTGCGGGACGCTCCGGCCCCGCGGCAGCACGGATGAGCCTGGAGGGCGTTATGCTGAAGAAGCCGGATACGAAAGCCCAAATAGTGTCTGGTTCCCGTTTGCGGAGCCCCTGAAGGAGGCGGATTTACCCAGAGAGCGGACGCGGGGGACACGAAACGGGGGGCTACTGTTTCATCCACAGAGTCTGTTTTGCAAAGTAAAGAGTTCTGGAGATGGACTGCACGGCCATCTAATGTACTTACAACTGTTAAGATGGTAAATTTTATGTGTATCATGTCACACAAAGTAAATAAAATACAATAAAATAGAAAAGGAATTAAGTTCTGACACATGATACAACATAAACTTTTAAAGCCATTACGCAGGGCACCTGAGTGGCTCAGTGGGTTAAGCACCCCAGTCTTGGTGAGTTCAAATCCAAGTCCTGTGTTGGGTGGGGAGTTCAATCAAAGTCCACGCCCAGCATGGAGCCTATTTAAAATAAAACTACAGCAACAAGAACACACTACACGGGACATAAATCAGTCAAAAGAGGCAAATACTGTATGATTGCACTTACATAGGCATGGAGAATAGGCCAGTTCAAAAGACAGAAAGTAAAATAGAGGCTGCCAGGGGCTGAGGAGGGGGAAAGGGAATTATTACTTAATAGGGACAGAGTTTCTCCTGGGGTGATTTTTAAAAAGTGCTAGAAATAGATACTGGAAATGGTTACACAACATCACAAACTCAGGAAACGGTGAGATCGTCACCAGAGCCAAAACCAAGAGTTATCTGCTTAACTCACTGAGCCACCCAGGCGCCCCTATGCTTATGTATTTTAATACAACTAAGAAAAGCAGTGATAAAATAAACTTCAACAAATTTTTAAATTTTGCTTTCAGAAAGACACTGTTGAGAAAAGGAAAAGACACACTACAAGGCTGGGGAAAAACAATGCAAAGCATACAACCAAATATAAACATACACACCTGTGCACACATGTATGCATACAAAATACGTATGTATACTTTATATAGTATGTAACAAATATATACAGAGCTCCCCAAACTCAACAGTTAGAAAACAACCCAATTAAACAAAACTGAGAACAGGCTGGAATAGACACATCCCTTGACCGGGGTGGGTGAGGAGCACCTGAGCGGCTCAGCTGGCGAAGGGTTGCACTCTTAAGTTTGGCTCCGGTCATGATCTTGTGGTTCGTGGCTGGAACCCCGAGCTGGGCTCTACAGTGACAGTGCAGACCCTACTTGGGATTCTCTCTCCCTCCCCCTCTCTCTCTGCCCCTTCCCTGTTCATTCTATCTCATAAGTACATAATTAACCAGTCAAGATGGATGAATGGCAGCAGCGCACGAACAGGTGCTTACCATCATTGGCCACCGGGGAAAACACACTAAGCCCCAGTGAGGCACTGCCCACATGCGGAGGGGAACGGCTAAAATGAAGTCCTGATAATAGCCCGTGCCCCAATTTTCCCAGGAGTTTTCAGTTCCAGCGCTGAAAGGCCGCATCCTTGGAGACCCTCCCCCGGAGGCGGAGCTGAACGGCGGGTCACCCAGGGGGAGGATGAAGAACCCAGAATCTCCTACGTCTCCGTGGGGCGAGCGCAGAACGGCGCAGCCACCGGGGACAACCTCCGGCTGGTGCGCCGGCCACGAGCACCTGGCCCCGGGGTGTGACCCCGCCTTCCTACTCCCGTCCTCCTCCCGGAGAAGTGAAGCTACCTTCACACAAACACGAACACGAGTGTTGCAGCACGTCTGTCCACCTGCCCCGACGCGGAGACGCCGCAGATTCCCACCGCAGGCGAGGTCCGTCCCACCACTGGGCGCGGCGCACTCTCCCGGCCCTAACGGCGACCTGCGAGAGAAAGAAGTCAGCCTCGAAGGGTTACATAATAGTAATTCCATTCAGGTGGCTTTGTCAAAAGGACAAAACAGTAGGAAAGGAGATCAGTGGTTTCCAAAGGTGGGGACCGCCTGCAGCCCGCAGAGGGACAGCATGTTGGAACTTTTGCCGCGTGACTAACTGCTCGGTGTCCTGATTGTGGTGGGCATGATACAAACCTGTACATGCACTAAAATCCATTCGACTGCACACGGAAAAAGGCAATTTCACTGTAGTTTTAAATAGAGATTTTTAAATTAACAATTCCTTAACATCAAACATGGAGGCACATGTGCACGTGTGTACATGTGCATGATTTCATGCGTATGACTGCACACAGTGGGTTCACATCAAGATTCCAAATCAGGGCACCTGGTGGTTAGGTTGGTTAAACAGCCGGCTTCGGCTCAGGTCATGATCTCACGGTCAGTGAGTTCCAGCCCCATCAGGCTCTGCGCTGACGGCACATGGGGCTCGAACTCACAAACTGAGAGAAGTCAGACGCTTACCCAACTGAGCCCCCAGGCGCCCCGAAAAAAACAGGTTTTAGAACTAACGCTGACTGGGGCGCCTGAGTGGCTTAGTCGGTTGAGCGTCCGACTTTCGCTTAGGTCATTGATCTCGCGGTTCGTGGGTTCGAGCCCCGCGTCAGGCTCTGTGCTGACTGCCAGCTCAGAGCCTGGAGCCTGTTTCAGAGTCTGTGACTCCCTCTCTCTCTGACCCTCCCCTGCTCACGCTGTCTCTCTCTCTCCTAGAAATAAATAAAACATTAAAAAAATTAAAAAAAAAAAAAGAACTAACGCTGACTGTGTGTACACATGGGGACTGTTGTGAACTGATGCGGTATTGGGACTGGACTCGGCGATGTGGATGTTAAGTCTTATTTTATTTGCTGTCCTAACTTTCCAGGCACATGGACTTCAGGGACCAGATTTAGTCTTGTATTCAGAAAAACAGGCTTAACTGTGTCTGCTGACTTTGAAATCTAAGAACAGTGAGGATTGTTTCAAAACAACCCATTCAAGGGGCGCCTGGGTGGCTCAGTCGGTTGAGCGTCCCACTTCGGCTCAGGTCATGATCTCATGGTCTGTGAGTTCGAGCCTCGCATCTGGCTCTGCGGACAGCTCGGAGCCTGGAGCTGCCTCGGATTTTGTGCCCCCCCCCACCTCTCTGCCCCTCTCCCGCTCATGCTTTGTCTCTCAAAAATTAATAAACATTAAAAAAAAAAACCATCCATTCAAGAAGGCCTCAGGATCTCAGGAAGGTGGTTAAAGTAGAAGAAAAATCACTCCCCTCAGGGCAAAAAAAAAAAGTCTGGACAGGGCCCATTAGCTTTGTGTCCCTGTCCATGCCCTCAGCCTGACTCAGGTGACTTCCCGGGCCTGCCTGGACCTGCTCCCTGTCCCACCCAGGCAGTAGGGTGGGGGCCCTGACTGGCCCTGGGGAGATGACGGCCGGCTGCCAACCTGAGTCAAGGTCACAGCAAATCCTCATCTTCTAAGACTGACTTTACATTTTGGACACATTGAAACCCACTTTGGTGAAGACCCGTGCGTTCAGGTGCCTGCCCGTTAGCCACCGGCCCCGGCCTCTGCCCGGCTTCCCGGTCTCTCTAGACACACGCTGGGTCGCGTCGGGCTCCACACCAAAGAAATGCCTCCGTCACCCTGTGCCCACTGGGCAAGCTCAGACTCGTCTGGTGTTGGGGTCCCGGCGGCGCGGTGCCTCGGGGACAGTCCTCTCCCTCAAAACGTGACCCAGACACAGAGCTTTAAACGTGCCCCCTCCTGCTGACCGGGCAACAGCACTTCCAGGCATCAGCACCAGGAAAAGAGGCAGGCGTGCCTGGGGGCTCAGGCAGCGGAGCGTCCGACTCGACCCGGTCTCAGCTCAGTCCTGATCTCAAGGTTCTTGAGACAGAGCTCTGTGCTGACAGCCTGACAGCGCGGAGCCTGCTTGGGGTCCTCTCGCTTCCTCTCTCTCTGCCCCTCCCCCGAGCTCACTCGCACGCTCATGCACTCTATAAATAAATAAATAAATAAATAAATAAACAAACATTTTTAAAAATGGGCACAATTTAGCTCAAAGGTGGAAAAGTGGAAACACCGTAAACAGCCGGTGATACTAACAATGTTACCTCCGTGTAACGTGATGTACCTCCACGGGGCGCAGTGCAGGTGCCTAACTGTTGTGGACAGCACACCACCGTGGGCGGGACGGCGCTCAGGAGGTGGGTGGGGAAATGGAGAAGCTGCTCCCCTCGCAGCCCAACCCCTTTCTGTCCTCCCCCCTCCCCAGCTCTCCCTTCCTCCCCCCTCCCCAGTGGACAGAAATGTATAGAACATTTACAATGGTCAGTTGTCCGTGAGCCAGGTTGTGAATCTTTCATGCAAATTCTTTATATTTTTTCTGCACTTTCCAGAACTTATCAGTGACCCTGTATCACTTATAGACTAGGCTCCCCCTGGCGGAGGGCAGATCAGCTCCCTCCCAGGAAGCTCTCCCTGCTCCCCTGCGCTCCCCTGAGCCTAACAGAGGGGAGCTCACAGCTGCTCTAGCAAAATGCC